GAAATTACATAAATCAGTCATGGAGAATGGCTTTGTTATGGTAGCAATATTAATCATTTTTAGTGCTTTTAACACATATTTGGCGTTGAAAGTCTGGATTTTTTGCTGCTTCCTTATGTAATGTAAGAGATAAAAGGCTGTTTCATCAAGATATGATGAAATATATTCATTTATATGTTCTAAAATTAAGGCTCTTTAACAGGAAGATATATATAGATACTTAATGATGCTGTGCTATGCAGTTTCTTATTCCAGCTTCCATTAGACTCCATTTTTTTTTAAATATATCACTTCATAATTTCTATGTATTTTACCATCAAAGCGCTTTCGAAGTGGTTATTTCAGTCAGCTATCTGCAAGAAAACAAGACAAAAGAGAATCTCCATTTTCCCACTGAATGGTTGAACATATCTAAGCTGCTCCTCTTGTTCCCCAAGAGCTTAATAAACTTAAGAGCAATAAACTCATCCACATCTCATTATCACTTTTGCTTTGTAAATACTATTGTGTTAGTCCCACTTACTTACTTTGGGCATCAGTAGTGCCTCTCCTCTGGAGCACTTTGCACTAATGAAAAGATGTCATGTTAGCTCAGACCATGATGGATTGAAAGAACACAACCTCTTGAGAGATCTCTGGCACAGCTCTGCATTGGGGGGGAGATTGCCACTGCCAGTCCGAGGAGAGGAGGAGGCAGCGTCTCTGCCAGAAAAAGGCCCAGAGATGTGATTGATGCCGCTGAACCACATCCTCCAGGCAAAGCTCAATCTGGATAAGCCTCTCGTTGTCCTGCTGGAAGCTCCAATATCAACAATTTGCTGATGGAATCTGGACGGGTGAACGTGATAATATCTCAGTATCATTTAGGCTACATAGTGTTTTTTGTTTTTTTTTCCAAGGTGCATGACTGCGTTGAAAATTACATTTTTGGTTAGAACAGAGCTGTACAGAGTTGGAACAATAATGGTATAAAATGCAACAATCATACTACCTTGCGGTTAAGAAATTGATATCAAAACCAGCGATCCTTTTTGATTGAGGTAACTTTTCTCCTTTCCAAGCCTAAAGCATCCTAATTAGTTTTCCAGTGCTGTAACTCACTGGCTCTCTCACTGAAGTCCCAGTGAAAGTTTGGATTTGGCTGCTTTGCTGCCGCACATTGGCTCATTCATTCCTCCTTCTGACAGAATCTGCCAGAGAAAGGGTTCTTTTCCCTCCGCAAAACTTTGCAAATCAATGGAGAGTGCATATTATCCGCTATCAACCTTGACCAGCTGTTAAAAATGAAGCAGTGAGGGGCTGAATGCTGTGGCCAACTGGAAAACATAGTTGGTTTAACACACACACACACACACACACACACACACACACACACACACACACAGTACATAAATACATGTTTCTTGTTATAAGCATGAATGAACAAGTTTCTGTTTAGGAAATAGGAAGGTCAAATCTCTAATACTGAATTGCTCTACACAGTGAAAGAGACAAACTGGGGACAGAATGACCTCAAAAGTTATCACTGGAGTCTACAAGTGTCAGCTGTAGACTGGAGACATGGACTTATGTAAGTTTGATTTACATGTAAGTCACAAAAATGAGGACTTTGATACAAATGTCTGCTGTGAGGTTTGACCTGATAAAATAAAAAAAATCCTGAACTATGAAAAAAGTGTGGCCTCCAGTTTTGAACTTAATTTAATTATATTAATATATGACATATATTTATTTATGAGGACTTGCTCTCAACTTATTGACATAGTTTTGAAAGTAAAAGCTTCTGATTCTTAATGGGCCGCAGACACATGAAAGGAATGTAGACTTGTAATTTGCTCCCTCAGACTTAAAGGAATAGTTTGACATTTTGGGAAAATACGCTTATTTGTTTTCTTGCTGAGAGTTAGCAGTTTCTTGTCATCACCATGAAGTTGCTAGGTAACCAGTTGAGATCCAGCCAAGAACTAGTCGGGCATAATAAAAAAAAACCATGAAACTCCAAATCATCATTTCTACACTTTGGTTTTTGTATAAATTAAGCAAACAAGAAATAATGTGTTCATTTGTGAGTTTAGAAGTGCTGGTAGGTTGTTGGATAGCTGTTTCATACTTCATGGGCTGTTAGGAGAGTGGTATCAATTTCTTATTTAACAGAGAAAGCAAATTTGTGGTTTTCCCAAAAAGTTGAACAATTCCCTAAATTATTAGGCCTCTATTGTATGTAAAACACCTTTAACAGCTTTGAAAGTAAAAAGTTCAAATGCTCATTTAATGCCTTCATTAGAGACATTATAAAACTTGCATCTTGACTTGAACTTGCACCAACAGACTTAAAATCAGCTCCTAAGTCTATCAAAGACTTCCTCACACTGAAAAGAAGGTTGTTATAAAGCAAATGTTCAATATAATTCGGTGGCATGCATCCTTGTTTGGAGCATAGAGCTCACCCATGATTCACTGCAGTGTAGCGTTTGGCAGTGTGCCACATTAATCGCCAGGGTAATGGGAAGACAGGCCTATTGACCAGTAGTCCAATAGGACAGAGGGGCAGGACATACAAATCAAAGCTGTCCAGCCTCATATTGACCAGACTGTCCACAGGAAGCGAGATTCATTTGCCAGGGTGACGGGGAAAGGAGATGGGAGGCTGAGCGCAGGAAGTCGCAGGGATTTTATTCAGCTCAGACGCACGAAATTATGGCTGAGTATGTATTTAAAAGGGCAAGACTCCAATTAGAAGATAGTCCTTTTTTTGATAATCCCCACAGTGAACCACAATTCAGAACCTGTTTCTACTTTTTCAACCCAGTGCTGTTCAGCTTATGTATTTATAGGGGGAAGGTTTGGTGCATTATAAGTGATGAAGGTGTCTGGAGTGTTGATCTGTTGATGGTTTTCGAGAATTAGCGCGCTCCTCTGTCTTTCTTGTCAGTCTCCATTACGAACTGTCCAGTCGTGAAGACAAATGTAATATAGAGGGCAGAGTTTACACACTGAACATGCTCAAACCATCAGGGGACTTTACAAAGAGCTGAACATTGGTAAATTAGATTTTTGCACCTGTGGTATGCTGATACTCTCATAGGAAGTGCCCATCACTAATTGACCTGGGGATATTCTGTATACTGTTGCCCATTAAGTCTTTCTCTCAGACTGCTGTGTGACAGGAACAAGTGGCGAGCTTCCCCATTAGTGAATTGATCTTACAGTTGAAGCTCCATTCTTCTTCTGTTTTTCTGTAATGTGCTTTATCGGCACATAAATCACAAGTAAATGACCTTCATTCAAACAAGCAGACCCCTCCTCCATAGCGGCTGTATTTGTTTTCACATGATTTCACTGTTTATTCTTCCTACGCTTCGTGGTGGAAACCAAGAATCCAAAGCAGAGATCGGTGATGAATGTGCACTTTACTGCCCAGTGAGACGTTTCACAAGCAATCAGTGAAATGCAGTTTTAGGAAAGAATCATCAACCTTGTAGTGAAGTGAATATTACCACAGGATGTCAGCACTTAGTATTTTCAACTGTTAATAGGTCTTTTTCATGGAAAACACTCTGGCATGTCACAGTATAAAGGCTGAATTCCATTTAGGAGTCCTGAGTCATCATTCATTTGTTATTAACATCTGCGCTTTCTCTACTATAACAGGTCAAAATGTCTGCTGTGATTAAGGACTATTTGTTGGTGACTTGTCTTGTTTTGCTGTTTAGATGAATTATTCAAAGCAAATAGTGATTAAAAAACAAAAATATTAGATATTTAAGGTCTGTTTTATACATTTGAAAAGGTTTATCTTCTGTAGTGCGTAACAGTGAAACGCAGTACATTGTCTTAAACACAAATTTGATTATTTTACATGTCATTGTGCATGTGGAAATCAGAAATTCATCCTTAATGACTATAACAATATTAAACAGTCCTAAGACTTAAAGGTCCAGCGTGTAACATTTAGGAGGGTCTGTTGGCAGAAATGGAATATAATAATAATTAATAAATAATCTCCTGAAAAGAAGAATTCTTGTGTTTTTGTTACCTTAGAATGAGACATTTTTATCTACAGAGGGAGAGGGGCCTCTTCTATGTCGTCTGCCATGTTGAGCTGTCATTGTGGAATCTACAGAAGCCCAGAACGGACAAGCCAAACACTGGCTCGACATACAGCCTTGCGAGTTTAACAGCCAACGTAGTTTCTCCGAATCACTTGGAAGGCTGAGCTGTATTCAGCTGGTTGCAATCTGCAACTCTAAACACTCTTTTAATAGTAGAGATCTCTGCTTCTGTGTGTTTTTCAGTTGTAAGAAAAATACATGCACATCATTTATTATATATGGGACCATGATCCTCTGTGCTTCACCCTTTGCACGTGTAATAAATGGATTGTTTTTGTAAGTGTGCAGGCACCTGTGGCTGTCTATCTTGGCTACACATGCATGAACCTATACTTTTGCTTCCTGACTGGCGACAGTATGTTTTTTTTTATCTTTTGCTGAAATGCATAGATATACTAAACAAACCACCATTTATATAAATATTTACAACACTAACCCTACATTAACATGAACTATTCTGTTATTTACCAGCCCAGGTCTTGAAGCACAGGAGTGGGCTGTGACTGTCCCCTTGTGGGCAGAGTAGTGAACATCTGATTGGTGTTTTAGGGCCATGTAATCAGAGGGTCACAGGTTCCCAATGCTGTGCCAGAGTGCTACTGAGCAATTAAGCCAGTAAACACTTACATGTCTCTCTGGTAGTCAGAGGACAGGAGATCAACAATAAGCCTAAAAACATATGTGAGGCTAATATTATTTATGGGTAAAAAACCATCACTACTTAAAGCTTTAGTATTTATAAAAAGGCTATTAGTGCTTTAATAAACATTATTTTGCTGTTTATAGACGCTAATGGTCTAAAATGCCTGTTAGATTAATGGTTTGTCAGTGACAGAGCACCACAGAGGATAATTATATTATATTAAAGTTTACCTGGCAACAGCTGAGGTATAGCCCCCCATACACAGACCCCTCGTTATCTCCCCGACAAGAGGCTGAATGATTAAACATTTACTGTCTCTCCATAAATCCACCTTCGCTCGGGTGAAGAGGATGGAGCGGTTGTTGCGCACAGACGCGCAGCAGCCTGTTACCTTCGGAAGGGAGATTCATTATTGACAGCATGTTAGAGATCTGCGTGGCAGACGACACGAAAGAGCGGCGGGGCGAGACAAAAACAGGGAGTTTCCATCGGCAGTAAGCATTTCTCTTCTGTTACTGATTTCTCCGCATTAGCCGCAGCGCACGGCCGTCGTGCGCGTTTCTGCCAACAGCGTTTTTATTTGGATTTATTTCAATATTTCCATTTGCTTTATTGGCCCTATAGCGATTGCAGCTGGGTGTTGACTGCGCCTTTACCACCGCTGTCACCTCACAGGCTGCACAATAACTGGATTCCCTTATTTTATACGACTATTACATAACAAACATAAGTAAAAACCAGGCGACGTAGTGATCTATAAGAGGCCTGATTGTGAACAGCTTATTCAGTGTCAGTGCATCAATAAAATAACTTCATTAGAGTCTGATTTAAAGGAAACCCGGTTCAACCAGGTTCAATAACACATAGTGGTTAAAACCGTGGTGAGGCTATAGATCTGTTTGTTCTGTAATTGTTTAACAAGATGTATTGATTTGCACAGTGCTATCCAGATATAATATATCTCTAGATAGATAGATAGATAGATAGATAGATAGATAGAGCCAGGACAGATCTGGTTAATCACTACCTTATATGTATCAGACAGAACAAAGCTTTATCAGGCCAGAGCCAATAGATTAGAGAGTCAATAAATGGATTAAAAAAAGACACAAGATGATGCATTCTCATGACTTCTATAGTTCCCCCTCTTTCTCCTCTCTCATAGGTGACTGGCTGGTTTGGATGATCGACCTGCTTCTCTGTAAGAGGGTCTGCTTGAGTGATTGACAGATCAGAGGATGCTGCCTTCAGATGCTCATGGAGAAATTTAAAGGAGACTGAGTTAACACAAAGGGGAACCACTCAACCTACTCTCTGAAGGATAGAAGCAATTGGATCCTGATCTTATGTGGACACTGGGTTACTCCCACAGCTGTGTGCTGTACTGTAAGTAATTGTGTGTTGGTGTCATAGGAGGAATCGCCTGCTCGAATGTAGGGAATTGAACAGTGTTTATTTTTGGGCCTGCAACCAAAGATTATCTTCATCATCGATTTCGAATCAGACAATTATTTTCTTAATTAATTGTCACATAAGGCCAAGGAAAGCGGCACACAACTAGGAAACATTTGGCCATTTTTGCTTGAAAAATGACTCAACCTGAGCGTTATGGTCCGTCTTTTACAGCTCTAAAAACATATATTTAACATTGTTTTGTCAGCTTGATACTTCATGGCTTTGTCTTATTTTAATGAGAATTGCCAGTATACAAGATTTCCTTTTCAGATGCATTACTTCTGTTTGTGCGCTCAGAGATCACAGCTGTAAGGATTTTCCTTATGTTCCGATTGGTGTGGATGGTACTTTTTACACAGTGCTACACCTTTGTTCTTAAGATGTCTAACTGGGGTCCAGTTGATTTATTTCTATCATTTAGCGGTTGATGTTACGCAAAGATGAATATAAATAAGGAAGAAAAGAACGGGGTCTTTTACAACTTCAGTTCCCTCAGTCAATCTCACAGCTTCCTACGATTAAATTGAAATCCAGCGTAAATCTGTCTCTGGTTTTCTTTTCCCTTTCTGAAGAAAGCGTACGCTGGGAAGTGAAGGCGCCCTGAGGCAGAGCTATGGGCTGTGGGGGGAGCAGGACTGATGCTCTGGAGCCTCGATACTTGGAGAGCTGGACCAAGGAGACGGAATCGACGTGGCTGACCAGCACAGACACCGATATCCCCCTGTCGTCCATCCAGAGCATCCCCTCGGAGAACTCTGAGGCCGGCTTCACCTCTGAGAAAACAATCAGCCCTGGTAAGAAGAATGAGTCACTGTTGAGTGTATGGATGAATGAATTCTTAATTGATCTACTAACAGGAACAGTCAGTAATTTAACTGATGAACAAATGAATAATACATTTATGTTTGTATAAATTAGTGCTTAATAAGAATACAATATATTTGCGATTCCAATCTTGTGTATTTCTATTTATAGGTTTTGCACTAAATGTACATTAATCATTTTAATCATTAATAATTGCTACATTATGAGTATAATATTACTTCAAAATGATTTTTTTTTGTTCAGTGGGACTGTTGTTTTAAACCACTCTATTGCTTTACACCAGGGTAAGAGAGTTCAAGCTTTGAGTCTCATGCTTCAAGTAATTTGACTGCATTCGCAACGAGTGGCCTTTCTTTACACTCCTAACATCAAAGTGAAGTGTGACACCTATACAGTGTGTGTTGGTCTATCTGCTTTTTGCTGTAGGAAAAAAAAATCCTATAAGTGTAAAGCAGTTTGGAGGTTTTGCATGTCTGGTTCAAAGAAGAATCCATTATGCACAAGGAAAATTGAAATGAAGATGAAAAACAGAGTGGGTGCCCTCTATGCTGTAGCTGCAGGATTATATAGGACATAAGGATGCTTTAGAAGCCTTTGTTCTTCTAGTGTGCCATTAGTCACTTCATACAGCTCCGAAAACAGATGGCTCTGACTATAAATTGTGTTGTTCTTTGTCAATTTGTCTTTTGCACCGAATTGTGGTGTGTGTTTTCTTTGAAGCCAGCAGGAGATGAATCAGTAAATGGGCATAATAGGCTGCATCAAAAGCCACTGTGCTCGAACAGGACTTGGGTCTCATGGCAACCGATACAGCTGTTGGCAAATTCAGGCTGAGGAGCCTTGATGTAATTGTGAAGACAAATTCACTGTCGTTCACTCTGTACAGATAAAACAGATCCAGAATTGGCCAAATCAATCAGCAGCTGGCAACCTCAAAGATCTCATCAAATATTCCACAATAATGCACCTCTGTAGGATATGGTATTTTTATTCTAACATTAATATGCAGAATTTGGTTCTCTGCAGATAACCACACGTTACCCTAAATATTTAAGTTCACACATCATCAGTGCACTTAACCCACATTTGACGTGCACACCACTTCAGAGTGATTTCCATTATTCATCACACTTCACCGCTCCACACTGCAGTCACATTAGTTCAGTGGTGGCAGCAAGGTACCTGCACCGGTAGCTCTGACCTGTGAGTAATGCTGTTGGATTTACAAATTACCCCCTTCCACACTACACACGTCATAAACAGTGAGATAATAGTGATACTGGCAGGGCTGGAATTCATTCATTTCTTTTGTTTTTGTGATTATTTTGAAGAAAAAACTCGCTCAGTGCACATATAAACAGGTCACTGTTTCCCAAAGCTGAAAGAGTGTGTTACAAATGTATAATTAACAATTATCTTGTCCCAGAAAGCCTTTATATTTTCAGGGCAGCCCCTGATTTAAGACTAATTCCGTTTTTAAATTATATGGATAATCTGTGAAATTGTTCATCTAATGTTCATATTCACACACTACAGCAGCTCCAGATACAACACAAAAGATAAGAAAATACACAGTCAATTAAAAAATTAAATAAAATAAAATCGATAAATACAAGATATAATGAAAATAAAAAAATAGGAGTTATATGTACACTGTGTACAGCTTTTTTTTTATATATATAATGTGATTTTATATACAGATATGATTGATATAGAACATTGCACATAGATTTTGTGTGTGTATATATATATATATTGGTATTAAATTGTGCAAAAAGTGACTGTGAGTGTTGAATGTTGTGGGTAAATATCACAAGCATTCATGTCTCTTCATCCTCACAACACAGCACAGGTAATACTACCTAACTGGTAGTACATGTTGAGGATTCAGTGCTTCAGCTGCTCCATGTGACAAAGCTGAGGTTTTTGTTTGATTTCAGTTCCAGATTTCTTCGAGGATGGTCTCCCTCTTCCTGCTCAGGCGTACCTGAAAGTCTGTTCAGCTGTGTCTGAAGCCAGTCTGAACAACGTGAAGCCCAGCAGCCCTCCAGCCATACTGGGCTCTCCCCCCAAGGAGGCGGTGTTACCATCATCTGGCACCACAGTGCAGCGCAGAAGTGTTCTACACACCGAAGAGATTGTAAGACTCTTTTTTTGAATGCTTCAAGCCAATTAAGAATATCAAAGCACCTTTCATTTTATTCTATATTCATTTATTGAGAGAAAAAAAAAAAGTTGTGGGAGACTTACTTGGAGAATCCATTGTTTTCATTTTATCTCTTGCTCATATGTTACACTTTAAAGCAAAAATGCCAAACATTTGCTGGCTCTAGCTCGTCGATGCTTTTCCTTTTTGTCATCCAAAATAGCAAACTAAATATATATTTTGGTTTTGGACTGGTGGTCGAAGAAAATTATATTTAAAAACATAACCATGTCTGTATTTGACATTTTAAAGACAAAACCAATTATTGCGAATATAATCGGCAGATTAATCAATCACGAAATAATCGTTGTCTGGCAACATTCTCATAATTTCTGATTCGATTTTAAAGTGCCATTATGTGACTCCAATTCCCCCCTTTAATGCAATCTAACCACATTTCAGAACAAGGTTACTATTGTTATTTATGTTATTCCCCGTCTTTCATTCTTCATCATTATCAGACAAAATGGCAAGACAATCGGATGTCGACCAAGCAGGTGACCATCACAGTGACACAGAGCATCCATCAGGTGGATAAGAATGGGAAGGTGAAGAAGTCCCTCACCACCTATGAGGTTATGAAACCAGTGGAAAGCCTAAAACAGGTGGCCACCCAAAACACCTGACTGCAGGGAGACTGGAAGGAGCCAAAGAAAAATAAAAAGATAACTGTTCAATCAGTGAACTCATTGTTTCTGTTGGAAAGAATCTTTCAGCTCTGATGGCTGATGAAGGCCCAAGAAAGATGTGTGCCCTTGCTCTGAGACTTTGAACTGTACCATTTAGTCATATTGAAAACATGGCTTATTTTCTTTTAAAAAAAATACTCTGGCTTTGTTGTATTTAATATTGTAAGATGTATTTCTATGGTGCCTGTTACAATATTTTACTGTACTTAGACACATCAAAGACACTGACATGTAAAACCCGTCTGTTGGTCAAAGAAAATACGAGATATGACATTAAACAGTGCATAGAAAAAAATCATAGTATACAGCAGACAGCCTGTTTCAACATCATTGGCACATTTCAAATTCCTCAAGTGAACGAGAACCTAAAAAGCATATTAACACAATTTTAAGATGCTTTTGAGGATACATACATGTGTGCAGCTAATACAGTATTATTTTACATACGAATATTAACAAATAGGAATATTCACAAATTATAAATATATAGTTTTGTTATTCGACATTGATACAGAACATGTGGTTGCTGCTGTGTTAAAAATCTGTATGGCTCAGGAAAGTGAAAGTGATTGTGATGACTGCACTATTGCTAGTGAAGGCAGGAGTTTGTGATGACAATGTAGACAACTGTCTAACTACATCGTGTTGTTTTGTACAATACAGTGTTACATTTTCTTATCTAGTCGATTGTGTTTTCTAATTACAATAAATAAAAAAATATTTATGGTCCTTGTTTGAAATTACTACATAAAAAGCTGTATATCTTAGTTTTAATGACAAAAACACGGGATAAACATGTTGACGAACTGTGGTGACAAAAATAAACATGCACTTCTCTGGGATCCTCACACATTAGACATCATATATAGCTTGTAGCATCTTCCCTGGCAGCATTCATTTTGGAACAATTGATGACTAATTGCAGAGTTTCTAAGTGGTGCTTGGGGGACTGTAACAGCAGTTCTGGGGTCAGCTTTGCATTGAAAGTGTGTGGATCTGCTTCTGATGGTCGTAATTTATGTCTCCTGATCTGAACGATGGCTCTTCCTTCTCCATCCACTCCTCCGCACAGAAGTCTGGGAAGAAGAAATGGATTTCTCTTTGTGCCGACTCAACCGAATCTGGAGAGAATGAAAATGATGACAGTTTCACTCGGCATAAATCTTATAGCTTGGCAGTGGAAGTACAAGGTTTCTAAATGTGTGGCTGTGTCCAGAGTCACTCCCTCGTTCAAACCTTTACTAAACTATAGTCAGTAGTAAATGTATTTAATTACATTTATTACATTTTATTTAATTTTTTCATTTACAGGTAGTCATATAATGGCAATTTTTCAGTTGCAGAAAGCAGTGAACATGTCATGTACAGTGCATTTTCATTAATAAATAAATACATACATTTCACACTTAAAACAAATAAAATGGCAGTGCATTAATATAGTAGCGTATTATACAGTTAACAGGGAATGGTTTGGACACAGTCGGAATGATCTGTCAATGCCATCCTAATATAAATCCTCAAATATCTAGATTTGTCATGATACTTCTAAGATATGTCACAATGGATGTACTGTTTAAAAAATAGGACTTTGCTGTAATTTAAATCCATCGGGCTTTAAAACTGCTACAGTTTCTTACTGAATAAAATATTAGAAAGAATGATTGTGTGGATATTTTGTAACTTAATGCAAAAATTAAGCATTTTACGATGCAATATGGTAGAAAAAAATCTAATATATTTATATATTAAAACATTTTGCACTACAACTTTCCTGAAGAATAAAGTCTAAATGTAGCTATTTGTTCCCTTTGATCACACTCTTACAGTAATTATATGCTAAAGCTAAACCTGCAGTATGTGATTTGACAGTTCATGTGAGAATGCACGGGTGCATAGGACATGATGTATATCTGCTCCTTCCTACCTGAGCCATGAGTTGTGTTTCGTGTGTCTGTGAGTCCAAACTGGGCTCTGATGGAAGCAGGCGAGGTGTATCTGGCTCTGAACACTTTGGTCGGTCCCATCAGTTCCCTCCAGTGGTGTATGGCGTCCTCTCTGGCCAAAATGTACGCTCGCATCGGACCACTGGGGGAAGGAAATCAACAATATGACCATTCAACCATATTCTGCTCTGTGTGGCTGCTACAGACATTTCCTTTTAAACACTGGGTGATTTTCTGTCACTGACAGCATTCAGAGAACGGTTGCTGTAGCAACTGCAGATTGACTGCTGTGAGGAGACAAAAATGACAACGTGATTACAAACACCTTTTGCAATCCAGTGGTGACATATGGAGCTATTGTGAACAGGCTGGATGTTGATTCTCAGACAATTGCTTCAGGGGAGCTTAACATGGCGGTCCGCTGATAATTGAAACTCTTGTTGTGACATTTCAGAAAATGATTTATTGGGGGGCACTTTGTCACCAAATTGTGATTTTCCCCTTGAGGCAAATTTATGATTTGTAATTCTGGGCTGTATAAAATGGACTTGACTTGGGGTATGTGGTATGAAAATGTCTCTGTTATTCCATTTTAAATGCGTCAGACAGAAAACAACATGTACCCAAATGCATAAAAGCCTCAATCACTCGTTCAATGCCATGTGATTTCAGCTTACCTTGACATGAATTCAACAAGTCTTTGGTAAAAGAATCGCCCTAAGAAGCAAAACAAAAGCAAGTTAAACAGAGCTTTAGGATATCAGTGCAAGTCTTAAATATTTTAAATACTATTCTTCAAAGTCTCATTCATCATTTCATTCATCATTGTTATGAGAAATCATATTTAATTATCCAACTAACCATAAGAGGCTGTTTCTCTCTCCCTCCCAAAGTGTTGTAGCTCTAGTAATACAGTGAGGAATGAATCACTTGTCTTAACCTACACACATCTGCTAAAAATAGAAAAATAGGCTGCTGACTCAGTTGTGTGGTCAGATAGAGTCACTACAGCAAAACTTGGTTCGTTAAAATAAACACATATGAGTTGTGTCCACACCTGAATGTTCAGCGTAAAACCTCTCCGAGTCCTGCCTCCTCCACACGAGATCTTTGCATCTAACGATCACAAAGTTGTTGTCCAGGATTTTCTGGTGAAGAGCCTTAAAGTAAAATAATATTTTTACATATGTATAGCTGATGATAATCAATGATCTACAAATGGGTAACAATTTAAAGAAAAAAGCAACACAAACCTCCTGGTCTCTGGAACCCTCCCCATTCCCCCACAGGTGTTCATTTTAATCAATGCATGAAAGAATCTGCATTTGTTGTGTGTGTGTGTGTGTGTGTGTGTGTGTGTGTGTGTGTATATATATATATATATATATATATATATATATAGGGAAAAGGGCAAGCATTTCAGTGTTATTGTATCATCTACCGGAATAAGACCTGCCAGAGGGATGATACTTTAAGCCAATATTCTGATACAAAAGGTCATTCTTCTGCTCTTTATTAAGATGACAACAGACGTAAACCGGTCCAATTTATTTGGCTGTGAAATGGGACCTTTCACTAATGGAATATTTCACGATTGACACAGCTTTCAGGACTTTGAGGCTTCAGGGCTTGTAAATCTATCAAGACAGCAAATGGAGTTTCTTCTTTACTGTTTTGAATTAAAGTGAGAGTGTAGCAGGCTTAGGCCATGTCAGTGAACAGGCAACTTAAGATATGGGTAAATTATTATCCTTAACCTTGTTTATATTTTGGATATCTATATATATCTTTCCTACTTTAAACTGCAACTGCTGCACAACAGTTTCCCTCAGGATGAATGAAGTTCAATAAGGCACAAAGCACCTCAACTTATTATTATTATTATTATTCACACTGTATTTCAGTAACTAAAGTCAAATAGTGAAAATCTCTGGGAAATAACTTTTTAAACATTTTAAATTCAGTCAAAAAGATTGTTTATTGATCAAAATAACTGCACAATTTAGGTAACATGTATGTTTAGTGGATTGTTGGTGGTCGTGAATGTGTACATTTTGCTCTTTTGCTTGTGTTGTGTCCATACAAAGAAAGGCTGGCAGATCACCTATGTATCTTCTAACTACTTATTTTGAGAAGGGAGAAACCAAGATAAGATTTTATTTTCTTCTCCCTGCAATAATAAGTTAAATCCAAAATCCGAAAACTGAACTGCTTCAGTAAAGTAAATGTCTTTATTTGGCATCACTGCTCACGACAGCAACAGTAGGGGAAATCTGGCACAGCAGGAATAATATAATAAAGAGCAAAGAAAGAACAAAATAAATATAATAAAAATATAAAATATAAACACTATATACAGTGAAGTGGAATATGATGGGCAGTGAGCAACATACAGAAGAAACAGCTACAGTAGAGTACCTTAATAAGTTGGGTTACAGTCTCATGAATGTCATTAAACATTATATAAGTTAGATTTCTGTATAACAATAACAGACAGTAACAGTGAGAGCTCACCTCTAACATGACAGGATGAGCTACAGCATCTGGTTTGATGACCGCCAGGGTGAGCTGCAGCACTTTGGACAGGCGACGAGCTGTTAGTCTCATTATCTGATATAAAATAAAGACAGTAATATAAAATAAAGACAGTAATATAAAATAAAGACAGTATTGTAAAATAAAGACAGTATTATAAAATAAAGACAGTATTGTAAAATAAAGACAGTATTATCAAATAAAGACAGTAATATAAAATAAAGACAGTAATCAAACACTCATCATGTGCAGCGTGTCCACAGTTAGCTACAGAGATGTAACGTTAAGCTGTTTGTTGGTACACAGCTTTAAGTTAACTAATTGTTTTCTCATCAAACCTAAACATAATGAATTCAGTGTGAACAACAAGAGCGGAAAAGATGCGACCTTCGCTGCTGAAGCAATAGTTTAGACTCATGAATATTTCCAGTGTTGGTTACAGATACAAACCTCTGGAGATAAATTACAGGTCAGTTTAAAGAAGACAGCTCACACCGAGCACCGCCGCCATGTTGTCGCAAACATAAACTCCTTGCTTTAATATTAAGTCTCCACTCCGTTTCTACAAGTACGTGTCATTTTAATTTGGTTTATTTAATTACAAACTGTTTTATTAACTGGCTTTTATATGTTAAATTGTCGAATGATTCCTCGCACCGGTCAGTCCGCTAGTAAATAGTGTCCCCAGAAACGGAACCAGCACATTGTGTTCCTACAGCGACTCCAAAGTAAAAATTAAAACAGAACATTAGTTCTTTTACTCAGCTCAGTTAATATTTACAAAGATTAAAACATAGTTCTTAACACACACACAGAGCAAGAAGACACAAAGTTCCGTGTAGGGGCTTTATGTAAAAGTAATACTACAAGTAGTAGTAGTATCAATTAGTTAAATTTACTTAAAATATTAAAAGTAAAAGTACTTGTTTTGTAGAAAATAGACCTTTGTGACTTACATTTAAAAATAGATTAGACATGAATGTATAAAAAGCATTTTACTGTAGTAGTTGGTTTATAGTTTAGTGTAGCGGTATCCAACCGAGGGGGTCAAGCCCCTCCAAAGGGTCAAAAGATAAATCTGGGTCTGAGATGATTAAGAAGACTTGAACATGTGACAACCAGGAGTGATCTTAACTTGAGTGCAGCTCTTGAGCTTCTGTGATTGGAAGAACCCGTTTATGTTGAGCTTATAAGTCAATCTTTATCATGATTCAGTCAGATATTCTGATGGCTCCCAAGGTTGACACACATAGTTTATAAATGTAATCATTTAATGTAATTGATTACATAGTTATTTTATAAACTATATTTATAAGCTCATATTCTTTAGGACAACTCACTCTTTACATTGGAAATAAAAAGATGAGTAAATTCAGTTTCAGGTTTCCTTGTTCCACAGGGAACGGGTCACTACAAAGCAGCACCACTGAAGCCAAATGGGATTCAGTGCCTTGCACAATGACACTAGTGAGACTAGTGCTGCCCACCGTTGCCATGTCACAGTTCACATAAGAAAAACTAACACGAGAAAAAGCAGGAAAATGGCTTTATTATCTCTAAAAGACTGCTGATGATAGTTTTTATTATCACTGTCAAATAAACCAAAAAATTAATACATTAGTATGCATTGTTTCATGACCATGCTTTCATCATAAATGATGGAGGATGCTCTGTTTGTTCCACAACTCCCTAATACCTCATCTTAAACAGTGTAAACACAGCGGTCATGTAACTATGTATCAGTAGGATGAAGAATAAAGGTTTTAGCCAATAAAACTCTCGTAAATGTAAATGAATAATCCTGCCCCTCTCATCAAATAAAACTTTTATTTTCTTGCTTGGTTCAAAAATGTGTCTCAGTTCGTGGACTATTAAACTTGAATAAAAGTGAATTTAATTCCTCTTTAAATATCAAATACATTAAAATTAAACAATCACAATCTCCGTAACTTATCTCACTGAGAAAGGTGAGATTACCCAGAGCCTCAGAGCTGTACCCTTATGAAGCAAAACATCTTTAAAAACATAGGACTGTGAGGTTTCGATTATGGGTGGATTAATAATGCATAGATGCTCTGTAGTAGCTGGCATGAAGCAGGGACTGGAGTGCAGGAGATTTTTGTCCGTGGAATTTCATCAATGTGGGAGATCAGACATCCAGTATGAGTTACAAACACGGAGCACATTCCAGCAATGCAAAATGGCCACACCCTTGCAAAGAGGAGGTTGTGTGTGTGTGTGTGTGTGTGTGTGTGTATGTGTGTGTGTGTGTGTGTGTGTAGGGGTTGACATTCAGAGAGAGAGAGAGAGAGAGAGAGAGAATAGGAGGGAAGAAAGGGGGGATGGATGTCCCACATAGGTTTCTCCCACCTGCCCATGTCATGTGACTTGGGGTGACACCACAGCTGTTACCACCCATGAGGGGGATGGAGAGGACGAGAGGAGGTGTTGGGTGGGTGAGGGGTTGGATGGAGCAAATCTTTGAGGATATAACATACAACCCTATACGTACTTATTGTATATATAAACCTAGTACTAAGTCCCCTCAGATTTACTTAAACATACTACAAGGAGTTTTTAACTGGTTGTGAGTTTAATACTGATGCTTCTATATGACCTATACACAAACCTATAGACAGACCTATAAAGTGAGAAGACTGGCTATTTCTGTTAGTGGTCTAACAATATGGGTTTTTTTCAACGTCTGATCCTAATATTTAGAGAGCAGGGCTGCCAATGGCCGATATCAAAACAAAGAAAAGTCATGTATAATTCTGTTCTGTTCTACAGGAAATTCAGGCATATGTGAACAGCGGCATGAATGTGTGAGCGTTTTCACCACCTTCCCAAAATTCACAATGGGAACCTCTGCAATGGTTCCACAGCAGCATCTCTGTTAAGGCTACCTGCTGATGTATCTGAAGAATTTTTTTCTGCATCTGCCTCATGAGCACAGACATCGGCTGATGCCAATGATCTCAAAGTGTTAGATAATCGGCCGAGTGATTAATCTGTCATTCATTTCTGTGTAGTTATTCTTAATGCCTACCACCGGGTCGGATTCCCCTGAAACGAGGTGATGGAAACACTACCGCTTATATGAAAGTTCCTTGTAGGGGCTCTAAGTAAAAGTAATACCACAATGTAAAAATACTCAATTACAAGAAAGAAAAAAAAATTCCTGCCACACAAATCTGTTTAAGCTTACAGCTTTTGTGAAATACTGGATCATTTGAACTGTTATTTAAAAGGAAACGTGAGAAGTTTAGAGGGTAAATGTCTCTTTCGTGGAACTGATGAACTCAGTCACCCAGTCATGAGTGCAAAATGATCTCTACCTCATTCATCACACAGCTGAAGGAGGTTTCTGTGTTCAGAAACACATTTAGGAACTCACAATGAATGATCTTTGATGCTTTCTTTCTCTTTTGATGATGTAAGTAGCTTATTTGGGAGATCATAAAGACTTAAAGTAGATGAGTTATTGTTTTAACATCATGATCAGGGTTAAGGATGGATGGAAGACAGAGTTGGACAGAACAGAGACCACCGTCGATCACTGCTGACTCTTTCTTTAAACATCCTCAGCTGGGCGGCTGATTCAGCGGATCCCCCCACTCTCTGTCCGCCATAAACCCCATCTCTGTTTCATCTCGGTGTCCCTGCTGCTGCTGCTGTTGCTGCTGCTGCTGCTGCCTCTCCTGCAGTTGTCGTTTCCTTTTGGTGGACAGCTGACTGACGACCCCCTGTCAGCCCACTTGGGTGTCCATAGGCTTCTCCATACATTTATTCATCCACCAGGAACCACAGTAAAAGAGAAACGTTGGAGCTATATGATATAAAACAGAAAGTTGATACTGTATAAGAGGAGGTCTGGGAGTAAGAGAAGATAGTGATGTTAGAAAGTGACTAATATAGCCTGCTGTGTCTGTTGGTTTACTACATTATGTATGGCATTTTTATACTTACAGTGCGTGTGCCTGTGTACAAATCTACTGTGTATTTGGTAACACTTTATTTTACTGCTCCCATAGTTTCCTAAATTCCTTAAAATGATGACATGCAACTGCAGATTCATAGGGAGGTTAGTGGAACGACTGTGTTAATTCCAATGAACTGCATTAACTGCAACGCAAATGACACCTAGAGGAACATGAGCCTACAGTTTAGTCTAATATTGATTCCTCTGGAAATTAAAAACTTTTTTTTCACCACTATTACTATTAATCTACTGCATCACATCCTTGAAAATGATTTTTACTGCAGAATTATATTGAAGTGTCCAAATTATGCATTACTATTAATATTCAGGTAAAATGATACACATATGGCAAAAATTACGTTGTGTTCTTTCTGTCTTTGTTTGCGCTAAAACTAGTCAATTATTATGTCTTAATGTTTATACTGTAGTGATAAACTTATTTGTGCATAGAGTTCAGTTTCCACTATGATGTAAGGGATTTATGAACAAACCACCAGTGTTTTAAATGAAATGCTGAATTCCAATACATTAAAACAATGCTACAAGTGTTGTCCTTGTTTGTGTGCTTGTGAAGTACTTTGAGAATGTTGTTGCAATCTGGGGCTTAAACTGGACTTATAACAGGCCTTCAACAACAACCACATTTACATACATTTTAAACCCATTTTAACTAATTTGTAATGTTAAAGTTTGTCCGTTAAGCGGTCTCCTGTGTTTACACTAATTAAAACCTTACACCCCTTCATCCTTATTGCAATATATCAATGTCAATGGTTCATTCATTCATTTGCTCATTGCTGTATTCCCTGCATGTATCCACATGTATTCTTTACTATTCACCATCACATTTAGTTGTTAGTTGGGTATGTTGAGTCAATGTTTATTGTTGTGTCTTTGTTGTGTCCTCGTATCAGAAATACATTTCCTAAAATATAAAGTCATTGCTTTGTTTTCCGGAGCTTGTATTCAGTCCCTTTACGTATGCATTTAGCCTGCTCATGATTACCAAGAGAAACGGTTCATTAGTTTATTTACTGACCCTGAAATTGTGTCGCTGGACGGATAAGTTGATGTGGTTCTGCTTAATAATAACAAGATGAACATTAGCCTTCACCCAAACCGAGCTAATGTTCCCTACATTAATGGTGGAGAATGAAAAAAAAACAGACTGGGCCAGTAAACGGAAATGCAGCTTTACAAGAGTAAGTCTGCTTACCCAGGTTTACCCTACACTGGTGTACACTGATCTCCCACTTTGTAGCTCACCTGTCACCAGGTCACACAGAGGCCACCTGACCATTACAACAGGGCCATTTAATGGGGGACAACACCCAGAACCCTTTTATGTCCTAATTCTTTGGTTGGTGAGAAAAGTCAGGCATGTGTTTCCTGCCATAACACCTTTTGGGGCTTTAGTAACAGATCCAAGCCTCTTAATTAGGGTGCCATATTTCTAGAAATCTAGAAATGAATGAAACTTTAAAATCAAGGGTGACCACCTTTTGTTTAATGACTTCCACCAGTTATTATTACCCTGATGTAACCAATGTGGTCAAAAAAACAATTTAATTAACTATATCTTAAGAGTGCTTTGGTTTGGGATATTTTTTTACATTGTTTTGGTTGAAAAGAAACAAATTGTGTATTAGATTGTAACCAAACCACTAAATAGAGCCTCGCAGTCATAAGGCATGCCCTGTATCATTATATTAAGTCATGTTTGCAATCCTTCATTCTCAGATCTAATGACCTCAAAGCATCCGACTAAATCCATCTGTCCCCTCGGTGAATCACGGGAGTGAGTTGCCTTCACCTCTCCATCACCTGTTCTTTCTTTTAGCCTAAATGCTGGTGACCTTTGACCTTTCTGCTCCATTGCTCCACCACACGGGACCAGGCTCCCTGCAACAGCTGTGTCAACCTCAGCCCTGGCAACTGGTGTGCCCAGGGAAGGACAGAGAGTGGCAGCATTAATGTCAGACCACGTAATGAGTCAGCAACATGGCAGTGTCTTATCTTTGTCAGGATCAAACAGTTGACTTTTACATGCTGGTTTATCATTGGAGCATCGTCATCCCCCACCACCTAATCTGACTAGGGTGCAAATTAACTACGCACATTTATTCAAGTACTGTACTTAAGTATTTTATTATTAAGTAATTTTGAGGTACTTGAGTATTGCCATTTTATGCTACTTTATACTTCTACTCCACTACATTTCACTTGTACTTTTTACTTTATTTGACAGCTGTAGTTATTTTGCAGATTTAGATTATTATTTTAAAATATAAATGAAAAAATGTATTATTATATATTATTATGGATTAAGTTACCTAACAGTATATAAAGTATTCAAATTAGCCCCATCTTTACCAGCTTCAACACTGAGAGTGATAACTGAGTGTACTATAATAAACATTACTATGAGATGCGCCATTCTGCATGATGAGTACTTATACTTTTGGTACTTTAAGTATATTTTGATGCTAACACTGTTGAGCTTTTACTTCAGTAAAATGTTTGAATGACTTTTACTTGTAACATAGTATATTAAAACATGATTTTCAGTCATACTTTTACAGAACAATAGAAAAAAAACATCAAATGAGACAGGAGATGTTTTTTAACTCTGCACTTCCTGCAGAGAGTTTCCTCTAAAGACCAGGGGGTTTAATCTGCGAGGTTGTCCCATCCTGTGCATGTGCAGGAGCTGATCTGGTGTCAGCTGCCTGTTTATTTATACCAATAGAAATCCATGCCATCCACTGTTGAAAAACTGCTCTGGGGTTAGTCAGCTTTAACTCCTACCTGCTGCCCCGAGGGAAATAATTTCCTCCGGCCAAGAAAAGTGTGTTGTGACCTCCCCAGAAGCAGTGGGACATTGGCAGCGGGGTAGATGGGTATGACAGAGGGGAACAAAGTGATTAGCAAACGGGGGCCCCGGTATGTGAACACGGGTTAAAAATAACCTCACTGACCCAATTTGTAGTTAACATGCAGCACAACCGCTGAGCTCTGGCGCTGTCTTCTTGACATTTTGGCTTAATTGTTCTTAAAAGATGACTCGATGAACTTAAAATGAAATCCCACGTTGAATCATGCATCGGACAATAAACGTGTTTTGTGAAAAGTTTCATGGGATTCGTTAGATATATAAATGATTGCCAGACTGATGATTGGAGCTCAAATAAATAAAACAGAAGAGGGGTTGACAGATGAAAAAAAAATCAGAGAGTAAGATGAGATCTTTTGCATGATGCCACATGATGAAAGAGAAGCAGATGATTAAATGAGAGTCTGTTTGTTGGCAAATCCTCAGGCTGTGATTCAGTATATGACAGTGATCAGCTGTCCAGTTAGGAGGAACAGCAGGATTATGGTTTGTGTCTTAACCATTGTGTCCGGTGTGAGAGACCAGGAATCCACTCAACAACAAAAGTTATCTGATATTCCTAGTGCCCAGATATATCTGGCAAGGCCTTGGCGCATAGCTAACATTAGTGGAAATGTTGCATTTGTGATACACCCTGGCTTGGGGCCATGGGAAATATGGAACAACTGTCGAATTTAGACAACATCCTGTGGCGGAGAGAAAACGGGAGCTACAAAGATGCGATGGGGTGGCTATTTGTGGACGGCGAGTGCCTCGAAAATAGCGAGGCTATTAGGTTTCAATATAAGCCCCCCTCTCTGAGCTCGAGCTTTCTGTGAATGAGGCCCAGGTTCCTATCACACCCAACCCTAGCGCTGATTTTAGAACACAGGTGTTGACCTTAGTGGAGCGGCTTGTGCTTGCAGCAGAGGAAAATGAACCCCTGAGCTCGAGCCCGTTGCCTCTACCAGTATTGGCTGCTTTGTGGTCACACAGATGCTTCAAAACAGTCATATAAGGATCTACAGATTCTATACGATTATTTAGAAAATAATAACAGCAAGTTTGAGTAAACAAATGATGCTGATGCTTACTGGTTAAATGGTTGATGATGGCTGATAAGAAACTGCTCACTTTACATGGTAACTTGCTCTTTAAGATGATTGATTTTTTTTTACATTTTCAACTATTTAATTTTATTTTTCCCTCCACACAAATGCGGCTTATGTTACATTCGGTGTTGTTTTGTAAGTGTCATGGCGGCAGGATGGTCACCTTGTGGCTACTGGAGAATTTATTGCTTAGTTTTTATGGTGCCACAAGAAGCCCCGTATAACTCATTCACACTCCTCACATATCATTGACTGTGCTTCATTAACAGAGGTTTACATTACAGTTTATCAAAGGATTTACCACGTTTGGTTGACTGCGGCTTCCTCGCAAAGGTAATCACCTTAAAACATCATGTCATCACATAAAAATGGCTTTTGTCAGAGGCAACTAAATGCTTTGACAACAGTGAACGTCACTTTTTCCTATACTGTAAATGATACAATGAAACTAAAGTGAAGCACAGGAACCAAACTGGGATGAAACTCAACCTTGGCTTCAGCTGTGACTCGTGGCCTGCTGTTCTGACTGGACCCCCAAACCCAATAAAACACGCCCATCGTGCAGTTGCTTCCTTGTTTCTCTGTATCCCTCTCTTTCTCCCTTTTTCTTTTTTTCTCCAAAATGGAGCCATTGACATTCGGTGTAAAATAGAGGCAGGGTGGGGTGGGGGCTGAACAGAGGAACGGCAGGGGTGTAGGGTGTCTCGAGCCCAGTGTGAACAGCTGAGAGGTGTGATTTCACAGGCTGGCTCCCCCCTGTCAGGGCCCTGATTGGGCCGGACAGGAGGCGCAGGAGAGGCCCGGGCTTCTAAAGGACACCAACAGGTGGGAGGCCGCTTTGGAGGGGGGCGCTCCTGGCGGGATAGAAAAGGCCGATCTGCAAGGCCTGTAGTGGGCACAATCCACCGGCCAGATATGGAGGAGGATGGTTGTTCGCAGGATAGCTGAGGCGAAGAGAGGAGAGGGGCAGGATGAAGTTGGGGACTGGTTCTCAGGAAGCTGAGGGGTAGTTTGAAATTAGTTTGGGCTTTTAATGGGTGGAAAGGGCAACTTTAGGGACAAGGTTGGTCTGAGATTTAGGTCTTTTCTGTGGTAAAGTGTTTTTGGTCACAGTGCTCCTTTTTAAAGCTCTGGTAGCTTTTCCTTTTGTTAGTTAATATAAAAGTTTCAAATGGGCATCTAGGTTGTCTAGGTTCACAAGGTTTTAACAAATCTTCTAGATTAGGATGTTGTAGACTTTTGTCCTCAGTTTCTTTCATTTGCAGCACTGTGTGACTAAAATCAGGTGTCAAACCAGTTGTTAAATGTTTTCTGCAAGTTTTACGATAGACACAGAGCTCCGTGTCGGAGCCTGACACCTCTGTCAGGTGAAGGGGAAGCTGAGGTGTGATACAGGAAAGATTCAGGAAATTTGGTGACTTGACATGTGTCTCTCAGAGGAGCCGTCACACTCCAATCAAAGTAGAAGGGCAAGTCTTTCAAATGGCCATTTGGTTCAGAGCTGGTTGACATAGCAAGTGGTTACATTTTTCACGGAAGTCACCACTAGACAGTGTAGGAGATGTCGGCTGAACCAAGTGTGGCCTCAAGCTCAACACCAGCTACTCAGCACAAGAAGACCACAAGAGGAGGCACAAGACATTTCACTGAAGGTGAGTAAAAAAGATTTTCAATGCATTTAAGCTTTAATTTGTTTGAAATATGCACCCTTTAAACATTTCTTATCATTTCTGTTCTAATATAGGTTTTTTTACACAGTTGTTGGGATCAATGATTAATATGGCATGAAGTAAAGGAAAGAAAGCAGATTGTGACCTTTGTCTGTTGGAAAGTCAGAATTTGCCTCGCCCTCCAGAGTTATTTAAACACAAGGGAGTTTAGCATCATCACATTGGCATTACCCATCAAAGAGCTGCATTGGCTGGTATTTAGCAGTATTAATCTTACATTTTTCTAATACTTGTTGTCAGGGACAAACAAGCAGTTAACAGTTTTCTTTTACTATTGGAAGGTCTTACTTTTTGCTTGTTTATCAGAAAGAAAAAGCAAAATGGGCCTCAAATAAGCCACACTTTAAACAAAAATTAAACTTGAAATTTCCCACTCTATTACCCTAAACATTTAATTTTAAAGTCTGTGGCGCAGATGATCGAACCCGCCATCACGTGTCTTCCTTCGCATGCTCTGTCACAGTTAACCATTGTTAAGCCGGGTTGTTCCTGCTACTCTGCAACTGTGACTATGAAAGGGTGCTTTGTGTCCGAGGAGCAGTGAATCCAGTTGTTGCCCCTTGTGAGGACATGCTTCCTTATATCCCCATATTAATACACCACTTATGGAATGTAAGGAAGTGTGTGGTTTCAAGGGGACATGAGCACCAACCACACTGGGAAGAAGAGACATTTCTGAATTTATTGTCTATTTAACAAAGATGGAGATTCATTCAGCATTGTCTGAGTGCTGCCTTTGTCTGTTTTATGAGATGGGAGGGGGATGTCAGGGTTCATGAGCATGTGTGTGTGTGTGTATGTATGCGTGTGTGTGTGTGTGTATGTATGTGTGTGTGTGTGTGTGTGTGTCTGTGTGTACGCATGGCAGGACAACAGGTGAAAGGCCTGTTCCCTCTCCTTCAGCTCAGGCACGTGTGCAGTTAGCATTACTCCCAGGGATCCGCTGATCGGGTCTCAGGGACTTCTTGAAAAATTCCTGCCCTGCCCCAATGGCTGACAGTTAAGGAGGATTGACAGACCACAGCTGTCACCCATTATAGCAACCACAGGAAGAGGGGAGGGAGGGCAGAGATGTGGAGCTGTCACTGAGGGTGAAGGGTCGCTCCTGTAGGCTGGATTTAGAAGGAAATAGGGCGATGTCACTGGCTGTCAGGGTTCCCAAACCTCTAAATAGGAACTATCTGCTTGGTAACATGGAGATGGTGTAAGGATATGTCATTAGTGCTGATCTTTTCCCTCTCTGTGTTCCTCCAGGTAAGGCTGAAGAGGACATGCCGGCCTGACTGCTTGGAGATGATGCCCACCCTCTATTTCTGCTCTTTCTTGTCCCTCATTTTCCTTATTTTTCTGTGTCCTCTACCCCTGTAACCCTTCCTCTCCCCCCTCCTGCTCTCCCTCTCACTCTGCCTCTTGAGGCTGAAGCAACACACCTTGCTGTGGCTGGTCAAACGGAACCAAGTCAGGTGTTTCTGTGAGGTTTGGTCCCCTTCAACCAGCTACTGCGTCGTGAATTCAGTCAGCAGACACCAGCGTGGAATCAAAGACACAGTGGCGTTGTGGTGTATGCTGTATACTTTGGAGGTGGTAGTCGGTTAACAATGATAGACAGATAGATAGTTTATTTTCTTCAGTGGTTTGTTGGTTGTTTCCTGTATGACAATGGATGTTAATAAAAATATTGCTGACAATGTACAGTGTTAAATTTCTTCTGAATGTCTTACACATTTTTAGAAATCTAAACAATTGTAAAGGACATATTCACAGAGTCACATCTCTTTATATAAGCCCATATTAAACTGGGTGAGTGTAGGATTTTTCTTATTTTTGATTATACTATGGTATAAAATGTGTAAGTGGCCTAATTGTTCTTCCAAGTATTACTCTGATAACAGTATAATGAGTAGTCATTATGCAATACCAAAAGCTCAGTTAATAAGTGATTCATATGGTATGCACAAAAACCACATTCATTAAAAAACACCACCACCAAAAAGGACTCAATGACACTTTAACTATAATGTTTTAATTAGGTTATAATGACTTTTGTCCACCCTGTTAGAGATGTAGTCTTTGTCCTTTATTCAAAGAGGTTGCAGAGAAAATAATTATGAGTGTACTGAAAATGGAATTGCTTCATGTGTAACTGAGAATTTGCTTAATATATTTTGTTAAAAGAAAAAAGAAGCCTAAAATTATGTTGTAATGGAAGACTTATTTAGTTATAAATAATTATCTATAGTAGTATATGAAGCCTTTTTCAGATGTGCACTTCATTGCATAAATGTAAAAAGCACACACAGTACAAAATGCAAAGAATTATTCATTTTGGAACCATACATGCACAGATGATACTCAAAATCTCCTAATACAGGTGTTTCACCTTCTTTTATTTATTTGCTTGATTGTTTGTTTATTTATTTATTTTACGTTATGCAAACAAAATCCATCAAATTACATATCAGTCCAGAATCTGACATCCTGAGGGTGTGTCAGAGCAGAAAGAACCACAAAAAAGCATCCATAGAAATTTCTACAGCAATAATGATTATGTTCTGTGATGTTTTGTGTTTTGGGGGATTATGTACCAGATTTTTGGAAATGTTCCTATTAAAGTTCAAGGTTTGATACCCATATTTAACACCCACCACCCATCTACACGTCCACTCATTATAAAGTGAAATACAAGGATCTAAGAAAATCCCCCCAAAATGTACATAAAAAATTGGTTACACTTCCATGTGTTACTTGTTTAGTGTAATAAACTGTATTTTGTATCCATTCAATTGGAGAAAAAAAAGTCTGCTTTCCTTTCCTGAATTAATAACTTATTATCTCAAAATTCTGAGATAATTTTTCATGAAAATGTGAAATTAAAGCAATACTTCCAGCACACTCTCCATGCCCAGGACCACCTCTCAGCCACATGGGAGGACAGCTGAGAACAGGCACCCGGCCGTGGGCATAGATCACACCGACCTCCCTCCCTTCCTCTGGCTCTCCAGCAGAGCAGTAGGGTTAAAGGCTAGGGACACAGAGCCCTGCATGGGCCCCGCTGAAGCTCGCTGGAGGCTGTTTCAGGGCTGGAGACCCAGTGTTAGGGGCTTAGGATCAGGCTTTGAGGGCTGAGAGCCAGCCCTGGGCATGGAGTGTGTGCTAGATGTATCTCATTGATTGATCAAAACAGAGCAGAATAATTTTTCAAGTGAATGCGATACGCAGATGTCATTTTGATATGAATTAGTCGGGTTAACATGGGTGTTACTAATGACACTAATTAAGATTATGTTCCATTTAATGTAGCACCATGACTCTGTTTGACCTGAATGGCAAATAACCTTAATTAATATCAACGTCTGTGTTCACCCTACTATTTCATGTTCAAAATAGCCACTGTTAAAATATATGTACACTTAGATACAGTAAGAAGCTCATTAAATCATATTCATTTAAAGCAGCACCACCTTCCTCCACAAGGGGGCGATACACATATTCCGGCGCGGTAGTTTGTGCAGCAGCAGAGGAAGTGAAGCGGGATCGTAAACATGGCTGACAGTGGAGAGACAGGTGAGTTCGGCAGTGTGTAACAGCTGGACATTATCACTGTCTCCAGGTTATTTGATAACTTTGTCTGTGGGCGCAGCGACAACAGGCCTTGCGCTCACAGTGGGTGTTTTGTGGTGTTTGGGTTTGTCTCGTATCAGGAGTTTAATTCCTTTATGCTAGTGCTGCTAACGTTAGCATCGCAGGCAAGTCAACGGTGCCGTTGCGGTAGACAGAGTAGTTTAACGGCAGTCATCGCGACGTTATTGCATCATCTTTTCGAGTAGTGTAATATATTAACAGAACAACTTGAAATGCTTGCTTTAAGCTGTTGTTGCGCCGCGCAGATGATGGTAGCCCATCGTCTGTGCTACTGCTGTCGTTAGCATGATGCAAACCTAGCAGGTTCAGTGACATACAGCCAGCTAACAGCATCACCACAGCTGGAGGCTGCTTCTGTCATTACAGCCCGATTCAGAAACCCATCACATGATCATGTTGTGGTTGCTTTCACAGGAGGACCTGTTAAGAAGGATGGTATTCAACAAGCAAAGGTTTGTATGTTATGTTGACTTTTTGTCGCATTCCTGTATATAAGGCTGCGTATTTAAGGCTTTATTTTGTAACCTTTTCATTGCGGTTCTTCACATATTCGCTCGACAGACTGAAGGCAAAGAGCTGACCAAAGAGGAGAAGCAGCGGCTGAGGAAAGAGAAGAAACAGCAGAAGAAAAGCAAAGAGAAAAAAGATGAGAAGGCCTCACAGGAAAGTGAGAAAGAAAAGAAGCCTGTTAGTTCAGCTTCTCCAGCTTCTCAGCCCCCAACACAACCCATAACACCAAAAGGTGCATATTACATGGATGTGTTGTAGTTTGATACATTGACACGTGTCACATAAAGCATATTATGTATTCATTTCTCACTTGGTAAATCAATCAGCTGACACATCTGGTCGAGTAAATGTTCTCTTTAACTGTGATGCATTACTGTAATTAAGGCTGTTGTGTCTCCCTCAGCTCCTTCAGCAGTGCCTACTCTGGTTCCTGTGCCTGCCTCAGAAACTCCTGCCCCGGCGGACAAGCCAGCTAAGAGTAAAGCGGAGATGAAAGCGGAGAGGAGAGCTCGGCAAGAGGCTGAGAGGGCCTCCAAACAGGGCAAGAAGGGAGAGGTGGGACAGCAGGCCGCTCCGGGCAAACCTAAAGCGCCGCCTAGTGAGCTGCAGCCAGGTACTGTAGTATCCGGGAGGTCAGCACAAGTAGTGACAATCTGAGATTATACATTGTACACTGTGGAGAAAGTCACACCTTTCATGTGTTTTCAGTGGTGAAGAGGCTCCCAGAACATGTCCAGGTGGACAACCCGGAGGTTTTAAAGAAACTGGCAAAGAAATTGGAAAGACAGCAGGTTAGCTACCGTTATGTGTCATCTTTTGTGCATGCTTTTTCTGATCCAGGACGTAATGAGCATAAACTGCCTGTCACAAATGTTGTGAGCACCCTGTGTTAGCATTTATGGTGATATCTTGAGCACAATAACTATAAATATATAAATGATAAACCCCTTGAAATGAGAAAATACAAGTAAGGAACAGATTAATCAAGGCGTGTTGGTGACTCATCAATCTTAAATGACTAAAATGAGTAATAATTCACATTGATAACAATAAATAACATCCTAAATAATGTGTTTTGATATATAACTTACTTTAAAGCGCGTCTAAAGTTTGGCTATTTACAGCAGGGACAGGTGTTAAAAAACAACAGTGTGTTAATCTTGTTCTGCCATTCTCTGCAACCTCACATAACCATGAGTGATACCCGCATGTGATTGTACGTAACATTTCTTTCAGACACCAGAATACAATGCTGCTACAAAGGTCAAGGTCTGACTTTCTTAAATGTGTGCCATTGACATTTGTCTAGTTTTGTTCGCTAACATGTAACTGTTATTGTACTCCAACACCGCTCATAAAGAGTTAGGGATGCAAACTGCTTGGTCCATTGAGACAGGCGGCGGTATGTCGGTGGGATGTGTATGTTTGACAAGTTGTTAACTTGTTCATTGTTTCTTTTTGTTCTTTGTGTTTACCTACAACACTGAGCTGTTTGCTGTGCGGGTGTATGGTTGTACTCCATACTTTTCTGTTTGTGTTTGGGGAGTATTTACAACAAAATTATACATGATAAAAGTTCTGTTGACAAAGTTAAACATGAACAAGTCTGTGGATTTTATTTGAGAGTAGCCTTTCATTGGTAATGTAGGAATTTGGCTCTATAGCAACATTTGTTCCTTTGTCTGGTCCACAGAATTTTACTCACAGATGTTAGCTGTTTGTTTAATTATGTAGAGGCTGTGCTGTTACTGTGCGTTAACCTCATCATCTCAGTTTTAACCTTCTGAATTACTGGGGTTGATGGCAGTGGACTCTGATCTGCTTTATTTCAGATCCCACTCCGGTCAGACTACGGCTATAAAGTCAGCCTGTTTTCTCATCTCCACCAGTACAGTCGCAAAGCCCCTCTAACACAGCAACTCAGGTAAACTGACAGAATACCATATAGTACAGTAGGTTGTGGGTATTGTCTGAAAAGATATTTGATATATGCAGTACCGATAATATGTCTTAGTCTCTTATTTTACCTTATATCTCTATATCTCACTCTTTTTATCTGTTGCAGCATTCCTTCCACAGTGATTCATCCTGCTATTGTTCGACTGGGTCTCCAGTATTCACAGGGCATTGTGGCAGGATCCAATGCTCGCTCTGTCGCCCTGCTGCATGCCTTCAAACAGGTACAGAGCACAGACTATTTAGTCCGAGTGCTTTAGACTGGGGATTTTCAAAGTGTGGACTGTGGGCCTCGCCTCCGTCAAAGCTTAGAAAGCCTTTAGCTTAGTTCAATACCTGTATGTCTGTGGGATCCTGTAGCAGCTGCTCTGAGTCTCCCCTAAAACTGTTGGGGCACCTCCCACTTTGAAAAACCCCTGCTTTAGACCAATAAAAGTGCGAGATGTCAACAGATATTGGACACACTGTATAGCTTTAAATGCTGCAATATTACTTTAGTGTTCTAGCTTTCGTATACGGCTACAAAAACTGTTATTTTCTCTGTTAACTTGTCTTGATACACTTGTCTAAACTGAGGATGGATTCACTAAACTGTAATAATAATTGGTGGTTGGTAAAGCAGGCTGGAGTAGGCTGGATTTTCAAAATAATAATCTTTACATGTAGCTTAACCCTCATTTAAAAAAAACGTGATTGCTTAAACTATATTTTCCCCCCTTTATTCCTTTGCTATTATTTCAACTCTTCATGATCCTTCAGCTAAAGGACAGTCTTCGTACAAAGTTAATCCAGCAACCCTGTTCAGCTTCCAGCTTTTCAAGTAATGTTTACCTCCTGGCTGTCCATCCATTAATGCATCTCAGCTTTCCAGCAGCCAACAGTCCCACTATTTCTAGTGTGAAGTTGACATTTTTGTGTTGTTGACAGATTTTTTAGTTGCAATCATTGTTTTTTTTTTCTCCTCAGGTTATAAGGGACTATACTACCCCTCCAAATGAGGAGCTATCTAGAGACTTGGTCAACAAGCTGAAACCTTATATCAGGTACAAAAAGTGTTCCAATTTTAGTCTTGTATCTTCACCAGTTTAGCCTAATCAGTTTAAGTTTTACTACTAACTGCTATCTTAATTTATCACTTCATAAATGCAATAAATGAACTGTTAAAATTCACAGTTAAACATAACATGATTCCTTTTATCTTATTTCTCTTGCAGTTTTTTGAATCAATGTCGCCCTCTGTCAGCCAGCATGGGTAATGCAATCAAATATATCAAGAAAGAGATCTCCAATATTCCTAGTCAGTGCAAAGAAGAAGAGGTTATTGTCACACTTGTTTTTCTCATAATTCATCCAGAGGTCATAAAGTTGTAGCTAACATATTTTATTGAAACAATAAAGTCACAGATTCACAGTTTCCACCCCACCCCCCCCTTCTCTCTGTCTCCGTTTAGGCAAAGAGCAAACTGCTGAACTGTATCGATCGCTACATCGATGAGAAGATCAACCTTGCTGCTAAAGCTATTGCCAAGTCCTCCATAGAAAAGATCAGTGATGGGGACGTCATCCTAGTTTATGGATGGTAAGCACATGAAAAGAACACAGACTCTGTACTTCCTTGTCAGCAAGCATTGCCTAATTATTTGTCGTTAGTAATGCAACATTAACTGTATTCAGGTCTAAAATATTTTTTCTAACCACTTTCTCTTCCCTTTTTCTTGTCTCGCCCTTTAAAACTCCCACCTTCCTTCCACATTCTTTTCTAACATGACCCGCTCTCATTTTCAGCTCGTCACTGGTCAACCACATCCTGTGCGAGGCCTTTGAGAAGAACAGGAAGTTCCGCGTGATCGTAGTGGACAGCAGGCCTCGACTGGAGGGCCGGGAGGCCCTGAGGCGCCTCGTCCAGAGGGGCATCAGCTGCACCTATGTCCTTATCTCAGCTGTCTCTTACATCCTTCCAGAGGTAATAACAAAACATTCCCACATTAGAGCCTTAGTAAATAGAGCAAGGCATTGCTATTTACCCAGAAGAGTTGCCAACAGTTTCTGTTGAAGCAAGTTAAATGTATTTACTGGTTTTGTTTGTGTGGGAGTTTTATAATAATGCCTTGAATTTGGACCTCGTAGGTATCGAAGGTGTTCCTTGGTGCTCACGCTCTGCTGGCCAACGGTTATGTCATGTCTCGCGTGGGGACATCACAGATAGCTCTGGTGGCCAAAGCCTTTAACGTGCCTGTTCTGGTGTGTTGTGAGACCTACAAGTTTTGTGAGAGGGTGCAGACAGATTCCTTCGTGTCCAATGAACTAGGTATGATTTAAAAAATAAAAATCAAGTGGCTTGTTGGATTTGTTGAGTAAATATACGAGTCTGTTTCTTTAAAGTGACTTGATGTTCAATCCTGTCAATTCAGATGATTTTGCTCAGTTTTATCTATGTATTTAAATGCCTTCCCAACATTCATTATTAAAGATGTCAGAATCAGTCAGAATTGATCTTTATCTGCCCTTTCCAGATGACCCCGATGACCTTATCGTGACCCGCAAAGGGAAGACCCAGCTAGAGCACTGGCAGGAAGTGCCCTCTCTTGGCCTGCTTAACCTGGTATATGACGTGACACCGCCTGATTTTGTGGACCTTGTCATCACGGATCTGGGAATGATCCCGTGCACCTCGGTCCCCGTGGTGCTGCGAGTCAAAAACGTGGACCAGTGAACGACCTCCTGCTCTGTCTGATCAGTCTGAGCCCAGGGGCCGTTTCTCTGTGTGCGGGGAGTTTGTGTGCTTGAATGCTTGCACACAACACAAAATATCGTGCTTTTAGCATGCAATAAATATATATCTGAAATGGCATAAGCTTTTTAAACTGAGTCCATGTGTGTTTTTATGGTAGGATTGGATAATTACAGAGATTTGAGGAGGGTAGTTCTGCCTTTTTTTTTTTTTTTTTTTTTTTTTAAATATTGGGTATAGGCTAGCTGTTTTAACAGATCCATGTTATGAACGGTTTCTTAACAACAGAACATTTAATTGCAAGTATTTAGAGCAGAACAATTCCACTGTGGTTCACAACACGCTCCCATAGTAAACCACAGCATGCAATTTTAATCTAGCCAGAAATGGTTCCCTAATTACAGTTGGAGATGCAGTATTTCAAGAGGAATTTTATGGCTCACATAAATTCTTCAGTCTAGTTTTTATTGACCTGATCAATTGAACAGCATAAAGAGGAAGACATTAACTGGGTAGTAAAACTTTTTTTTTTTTGGCAAAGGAACGCAGATTGTCTGTTTTCATGTCCACAAAGTCAACACATGGATTCTCACATGCTTTAAATTTGATTTTAGCAGAAATTTTAGTTTTAACAGCAAGAGAAAACAGCTCTGTCCACAGCTACACACTCTTTCCTCTACAGTGGTCATTTATTACTTAATACAATAGCTGATTTTCACTCAGTTATCTAGCCATTTTATTTATTGAACACTCTAGGACTGCTTATGAAACTACTGGTGACACTTCCAGAGACAAGTCCATAAACGGTGTTCAAGTGAACACATTTTTCGTATGTGCTTGATTTCATGGTAACTCAAAACAAAGCAGTATATGTATTGTTTTTAATATTTTTATTATCTCATTGGGAAGCATAAAACCTACTTGCCCATTAACATCAAGACATTTTTCCACATGTGACTGATGAACAAAGTGTAACTCAACAGTAGGAACACAACATATCAGATGTGGTAATAAGGTGATGGCATACTGTAGCAGTTATACTCAATCTCATTTACTTTTAATAAAGAACTTAATTAAAGCACAAAGTCAGTTATACTTGACTTTACATCATTCATATAGTGAACCTGACTTGGTTTCGCTCTGAGTAAAGTACATGTTCAACATGCAGTAAAGAATTTACCAAATATTTTATCAAATATGCTTAAAGACACGTAGTTCCAGTGTGTAAACTCCTACACATTCAGTGCATGTTTGGCACCGTCTATAGCAAGCAAATCTCGACCTCAACCTCTTCATTATTATCTTGTGTCAGTTGACTACATTTAAAAAATATAATTAAAGTGTTACCAGTGGTATTATTGCCAAGAATTTAAAACTGGGAGCAACATGTGTTCAAATTTATGTTCACTCTAAAATTGCACAGATGATGCAGTAAAGAAAATTAGAGGCAATCTTAAAAATGCCTCTAGATAAAATGTAGCTGCCCCACAAAGATGTCAAATTAAAAAAAATAAAATCCAAAACATAACTTTAAAAAAAGCCTAGAGTCACCTCAGACTTTGTGTCAGCATTTTCCCTTTCAGAAATAGTCAGTTTCAGCTCAGTAGATCATTGCAGATAAAGAAGTCGCCTGCGGTTCCGCCTCAGTGTGACTTGGCCTTACGTCTCTGAGTGACCCACAGCAGGATGGCGATCACAACTGTAGATGCTCCGAGAGGCCCAAACACCTGGAGGGCCGGGAACTCCCCCTGTTGACAATGAAAATAAATGCTATAACTTTCGAGTGCAGCATTGTTAAACTTCGTAATGAAGTAGATAAATAAATAAAGGTTCGGATAAAGCTGCTTGCGGATCTGACCTCCCGAAGACACTTGTATCCATGATAGTTGTCAGCGCAGCTGCACTCAAAGAAGCCGGGGCCATAGGGGGCGCAGAGGGAGTTCTCGGGGCAGTTAATGGCTGAGGATTGTCAATAATTATGACATGAACAGATGTCCCGTATTACCAGGAGGCTACTGCAGATTTAATGCGTCACAATGGAATATTATTGGATGGGAACTTACACAGCTGTCCAGTCTGATTGCACGTGTCTTTCTGGCCCTCACAAAGGCGATTTCCCTCTTTGACCTCCACCTTTTCCCAAGAAGTGTTGCCTCCCGGGCAAAATATGTCTTGTGGCAAAATCCTATAGAGACACAGAAACAGAGTTACAAAGGAAAAAAAACGAATTTTATACTCGTGAGCTGCTGTCATAGCTTTAGTTTTTATAATACTTACATGTAATTTAACTCAGTAAATCCTTGAAATGCTGAGTCACTAACGTTGACAATGGGATTGAGGGAGAGGTCTCTACAAAGCCAAAAAATATAAAGTGAAAACATTCTGAAGGGCAAAGACAAATGCTTCCACACAGATATTATTAATAAAAAATGAATAAGACAAGTTCATTTATTCTTTCTGCTGGAGGAGTTCTAATTATGTACTTGTGTGGAGTTCATGTGCTTTAGTTCATTCCTTTCTTTCTCTCAAGAGTAGTTGAAGAGTTTTGGTCCTTGCGAGTAATAGAGATTCAAGTTTTTCATTGCTGCCAGGAATAGAAACTTCCCTAAACTCCTGCTTCCTGAGAAAGAGCTTATCAACACAAAGATCATTCCGAGGAATCACCTGCATAACTTTCCCTGAGTGCAGCAGTACAACAATTTATCATGTAGAACGGGCCCTTACTATTGTGCAATCATCAATCAACATGTAGAGTAGTGATAAGCACAGTTTGTCTTCTTTGCCTTAAAAATAACCTCACAGAGTCACTAAAAGCCTTCTCTTATTTTGCCTGTTCACTATACTATGTGTTGGGTAAAAGGATGTGAAACTTTACTGTACATACATCATTAATGCCCTTGATGCTGCCTGGAGATCCTCCACGTGCGTTAGTGAACAATTGGACAGATCCAACCTGACACAAACAAACAAAAACAAGTTATCAACATTATCAAAACTAACATAACAGTATGTAGAATACACGATAGGAAGGACCTTTTATATACAGATAGAGAACAAAGCAGAAAAAAAAGATTTGTTTTCAACCCAATATGTCTTTTGATCTATCTTATCTATCTATCTATCTATCTATCTATCTATCTATCCATCTATCTAACATCTTGTTATCCACAGGCCATTTGCAATTTGGTGTAATAAAATGCAATCCCTATATTTCCGATACACCCTGAAGGCAACATTAAGATCCTTACCCGATGATGTGTTCAGGATCACTTGTGTTGTCATTTGTCCAGCAGCAGCGCCCGTCGACCCGACCAGCGGATGAGGAGCAGAACTTGCCCACTGTGGTGTCATTAAGGATTGTCCCGCCGCACAGCTCACATACCTGTGATTACAAAGCATTACGATGGTAAAAAATAAAAAGTTATAAACAATATTCCCCACTCATCCTCGCTGGCACCTACAGCTACTGTACCTCTACCAAAACAAGCTGTTTTTCAAGGATATGTGGATACGATGTGTCATTGACTTATTCTAGTAGACTACAGCGTTTATATGATCAAATCCGAGTCTTACCTGCAGCTCAGTTACTTGGTAACTTGCGTAAAAACATACATTAAAGATCAAAACAAGAACTACAGGTTTCAGCTGGCTGCACCCAGCTTTCATTTTCTTCGACTGAAGTCATATGATCCTACTGTAGCGGACATGTGACAGGAAGCTGGTCCAACATTTTATCCAGAAGTCTAACTTAATTCTGCGCTGCAATTACGCATACACGCAATTTGGAGCATTTAAACAAATATAATCGGCTTATGTGGTGAATAGAATAAACAACAGCAGACGAGTACATACAGTAAGCATCTAACTTGTTTATTTGTGCAGAAAATCTCATAATATGCCCAAAAATGAATCATACAACTTAGCATTTGGATTAATGTAATGTTTTTAATGCAATGTATACATTCTTTATGTAAAATCAACGAATCATTCGAGCAATTTTTTTTTCATAATTTTAAATATATTTTGTGCAATTAAGCCCAAAAGTCAAAGTAGGTTGTAGGTACTACACTAACAGTCCTATTTCATTACATTTCTAAAATTGTTGACAAAATCTAGACGCATTTTTTCTGACTGTAATGAATTTGGACTGCGCTTTCCCTGTCACTTTTCTGGGTTGCACCAAATACAGTGGGGACTTCAAGTTAGACGATTTTATCATATTCAAAATATATAGGAACTCATATTGGTAGAATATCTATAAAATGTTATTGAAATGCTATATCTTTAAGTATAAAATATGTGACATGTTATGTTAGCGTTCTCTTTTGTTTTTATTTTACCCCGTGATGAGTGCACCACCCCCCGGCTACATATGAGATGGTTTGTCCTAGAAGGATTGTTGCAATGCCTCTTGATGGGCCACTAGATACACTGAACACAGAATGGCTTGACGGCCCTGGTACATCTGCTTTCGCTGCCGTTTCTATCACATTTTATCTATGAGCTTCCTCCGTCGCCGTACAGAATTTCTTTTTCTTCAAACGTAGGAGATAGGGAAAAAAAACCAAGCAAAAACCCCACAACAAATGCAACTGTCTCCCCTCATATGTCGAAAAGATTTGCCAACGGCTCTGCGACGCTTGTGTTGTTTCTAGGAGCCAACTGCACCTTTTATCCGGAAACTTCATCTGGTGGCGCTAATGAACAGACCTACCTGTATACGTTGAAAACTCATATCATACAGTAGGTGGCTTTTTAAGTTATCGAAAAATACTTAAAAGTGAGCGGGAGGGGGGTATTTTAACGCCAATAGCGAAGGTGTAATTACTTAACACTTGCAAACATGGCTGCTACGGGAACGGCAGTGAGAAAAGTTTGACACCGACGTGGGAGAAGTTGTATGCGAATGCTAGTTTTGGTACATGAGTTTGTTGGCGAGATAATAAAGTCGTCAGTAGTCTCCCTCCAGCCTGGCACCGCTTTCCCCGGACTTACAAACCAGTGGATGAACCGTGAGAGAGCCCCCTCCTCCTCTGTAGTCACCGCCGACAGTCACTGCAGTGTGGACTTTTGTGGGGGAACTGTGGTGTCTTCTTCTCCATCGTGAGCTGTGGTGGCGTTTTTTGAGGACTTGTCGTCGGGCAGCAGCCTGTGTTTCGAGCTAAAAAAATGCATTTTTCCATACCCGAAACGGAGGTTCGTTCGGGGGAAAATGGATCAACCTATGTGGTGAGCATGATCATTTTTTGGGTTTTTGTTTTTACCCGCTTTTACTTAGCCATAGGGGTTAAACGCTGGCTTCAAGCTGGCCACAGGTCGGGATAATGTCAGTGCAGCATGAGTTGTTGTGTGTGTGTGTGTGTGTGTGTGTGTGTGTGTGTGTGTTTGTGTTTACTGTTTAATGATCTGATAGCACGAGCTGTGATGTGTCACCACATTGAAAACAACTGACTAATGCAATACAATAACCAGCAGCTGTATCCTCAGTTACACCACTAAATGCTAATTTGTATCTCATATGCAATAGAGATACACCATGGAGAGGTTAATAAACTTGATTTAGAGAATTAAAACGTGAGGAAGTTAAGTAAGTTCAGTGTTTTTGACCTCCAGTACATCATGACTAGACAGAAGCAGTAGGGATGTAACCTGTGGTAACATGTCATCATAATTTGACTTTTATTTTTTTTAGATGTGGTTATGTGGCTGTAAAATGTTGCCTGGTTGATAGTTGGTGCCATGTGTCATTTACTGTACTGTCTGATTCTTCATCTCTGGCATAACAGAGTCCCTTTTGTTTTAAAGGTTTGACTCAGCACTTAAATTCTTCCTGAGATTAGCCACATTGATATCACAATCCCTTCTTGTTGTTTAGAGGAAAAATACAGCCAACATTGCTTTAACTTTACTAACAAGTTAAATATCTAAAATATAGCAGTCTTGACAGCCTATCAAGAGCAGCGATGGTTTGTGGCTCCATCATCTTGCTTGGTTTATTATACAGCAGACTCCCATAGCCTAACTGTGTTTACTTCCCTTTTCAATTGCCATTGTGTTTGAAAAGACGCTGTGCCTTGCATTGCCTTGACACATTGGCAGACATGCTCTGTAGAGGATAGAGCTCAGAGAGGGTAATTCATGGAGGTTGGTCAAGGAGAGCTGTAGTGAAGCATCATAGACATAAACCATTTTAGGCTTTTGTGGCTCTTTCACTGTTTTCCACACAAACCATGAACATCAGTCACAGACGCTGTCAGGATACATTGTGCAAATCTCTGGCAGAGGCAGTATTGCTTGGAATTACTGACAACTCTAAATATTTTCCCCCGTCTCTAGTGTTGGTTGATGAGTTAGGCAACATTGTTTGTGTGAATGTGTGTCTATTAACGGGCCTGTAAACCAGACCCTAACCATGAATACAAGTCATTACGTTGCTAGGGAACAGCTTGGGTTCAAGTGCATTTCCTGTCAGTTATGGATATGATATGAACAAACAACAACAGCAACAGATACTCTTGGATCCTTTAGGATATTAGCTCTACAGTTTTCATTGTCAAAAAGATTTAGTATCAGATGTTATGTGGAAGAATGCAGCTACTTTCATATTCACCAGATGCTTTGAAATAACATCTGTGACATCTGATTTCCATGTGACATCACACTGGCTGTCCTCAATGTCACACACCTGTGAATAACTATTCTCCATCTTGACTCCATGTGCTCCGAAGAGGAAACAACCTTGGAGTAAGCTTATTAATATTTGAACATGTCAGTGTATTCACTGTCCCTGCTGCCTCAAGAAGTATGAAAATTAAGCTTTGGATATGAACTTAGTTTCATACTTTTTCTGTAGAAGTAGTAAATGCGCTGTGCAGGAATTGGATTTTGATCTAATGCAGTTTATTTCCCAACCACATTGTTCTGCAAACACCTACTCTTGCTGTTGAATGTCAATACGTTTTCTAAATTGAGCATTTCAGGTGCCATCTCTGGCTTGTTTCCACCTGGCTGAGCACATTTTTGAGCCTGTACTGCAGTGGGAACTTTAAAGCGACGGGTTTTCACCTCTCAGCTGGCAGTCCTGTGACTGTCATTGTGACCTTCCTGTTACAAGTCCACAGGAAGGGACTTTGCTTGATTATAATGCTGAGAGATGGGCTGTGTACCTTGGAACCAGTAGGCCACAGAATCTGCCGAGTTTGCACAGGGCTTTTTAGAATAACAAGGGCTGCAGTTTTTTTAAAGTTTTTTTTAAATGTGGTACGAGTCCTGTGCAAGCGCAGACAAATCTTTAGTTTTGAGTGCTTACACTTCCTCTAGTAGACTCTCTCTCTCTCTCTCTCTCTCTCTCTCTCTCTCTCTCTCTCTCTCTCTCACTTGGTATTTATAGTATGTTTATGAGTATTTGTGGGTGTGTAAAAGAAAGGTAGACTTTGGTGTTACTGTAAGTGATCATGACTCTGGAATAGAGGAACTGGTTAAAACTTTGATATGAGTCAATCTGGTTCGATTTATAGTTTTGCAAAGCTCTCTACAGAATGCCATTATCAGCGTGCGCAGACGGTGAGCAATATGTATGAACTTAAAAACGGCAAGATGATTCTTCAGATGTCTTCAAAAAGGAGCCTATCGCAGGATTTCTAAGACTACAAATGCATTTAAATTGACGTAAATAAACGTTTCATTCCCAGTTGTGTCTTAGTCAGGTCACAAACATTTAGATTGCATTTTGATCCCAGCTGGAGCTTCATCAAGTGTTTGGGTTTGGAGTTTAGTTTGTAGAAAAGTGTTCAGAAATGAGCAATACATCATAGTGTGGTTATAGTCAAGGGAATGTTGAAGTGTCCCTGAGATGAACTGCTTGCAATTTACAAAAAAAATGAGGGTAATTTTTGTGTGTTATCAAACAGAGCCAAGCCATTCTGCATACTCATTCTTCCTTCCTGCCTGGATGCTGCCTACGTACACACATCTTTCAGTTTATTCACTGGCCTGCCTCCAAATTCTCTTTCCCCTCCTAGAAGTTTTGGTTTGTACTTTGTTTTCCTATTGATTGGCGGTGCAGGGCCAGCAGTGGCATGTGCAACTGCATGCAACAGTGAAGTCAGAAGTCCACAAAAACTTTTTATTTAGTTTTTTCGACAGATGACCCACTATGTTGAGTATAAATATTCATTGAGACAGAAGGGGAAGGAGATTAAAGCACGGACAGTTTGTGCTTTGACACCCAAATGGGAAATCTCTTCAACAAGCATACAGAACGCACTTCCTCTCATCCCCAGCCAGAGCTGTACACAGCCTGGTGGAAGCTGATATTTCTTAGTAGATGAAGGTACTTGAGACAAGCAAGAGTAGGGGAAGGCAATCATCATTTCCATGTCTTTTATAATGATTTTATTTAGCTGCGAATGTGTGTTTAATTGCAATATTAGCCAAACCTTTAGGAGTATTTGCCCATGAGCGATTGTTATTTGATTCTGTGGTGGAAAAGTTTCTGTGTCATGTTTTTGAGCCTTTTTATCTGAAGGATGACTACAGAATACAGTTTTTGCCAGGGTTGGCTGGTAGTTCAATAGATTTGTGGTACCTTGGGAATGGTTCAAGAGTGCTGTTCTGTAAGTGAGCCTATATTAAAAATACTTTTTTCTTTTCCTTAAGGGCATAACTAAAGTATCACTTTGTTATTTTTGTGGTTTAGTATGATTTACAACACTTAAGGCATTTGACATGAAAAATACATTCACTTTCTGAGATTGGCTCTAAGCATGACGGCAAGCAGATATTTGCTTTGCTGATTCCAAATTGTGGTTTTGTCGAGGAGTATCCAGTGATGGCTCTTTTTCTGTCCGTCAAAACAAACAAGGGGTGTCTCAGAGAAAGAATGAAAGATTCCCATGTAATCCTTGCTTTCTGTATTTGGCAGCTTCTGCATAATGCAAGGATAAGCTAATTTGATTGGAAAATAAGCGGCAGGTTCTGTTTTCCTCTTTGGAAGTCAGTGAGGTTTTATTGAATCCAATTCACACTTTATTTTTTTGGTCCCCTTAACGAAAACAAAGAGCGAGGAACTACTCAGATAAGTTTAGATTGATCGAGAATTAGGTTGTTTTGAGGGAAATCAGTAGTGAAACTTATGCTGTAGGTACAGGATGTGAACTGTTTTTGCTGCACTACCTTTCACCAGTTGTGTTTTACTTCTGCACTGAATATACAACCCTGCACCCTTAGGAAATGCAACTGAAGAAACGTCAGCTTTGGACTGTTGCATTGAAAATAACTTTGTGTTTGAAGACTATTTTTTAATAAGTATTTATATTTCCTTCTAAATATATCTACATATATATATGTATATACATATATTTTATTTTTTTATTCATTTTTGTGTCCACCTACAGGCTTTTCAGACAGATCAATACAAATATCGGTGCCGTGTCACACCTTTTATACAATCTCTCTCCTCACATTTTAAATTCCTCTCATTCTTTCCCACAGGCCTACAACATCCATGTCAATGGTGTGCTGCACTGTCGGGTACGCTACAGTCAACTTCTTGGCCTACATGAACAGGTAAGACTTCAACCATCACAATGTACCCGTTGCTGTCACTATGCTTTGGACCAGAAGTGACTGGTCTGCATGTGTGGCGCACTGAAAGCTGTTTAAATGCCACCACATCCACCCGGCCTGACCTTTCGCTCGTCTTTGTGTCATATGGTCGATATGTCAGCCTCCCATCACTTTGAATCACGAGTACGGTGGCTTGAAGTCTTGCACCGTTATTCCCTACTATTGCATGTAAATAGGCAGTATCCTGGAAGAGGTTGGAGGGGGTGGGCGACATGGAAGGAATGTTCTTGGCCTTTCTTTCACTTCACCTGCTGGGAGAAGGAACTTAATCTGAAAAAGAAATGTTGTTGGAAAGTGTTAGAATTGCCTGGTCTTAACCATTTTTGGTCTCTGCCTCGGTGAAGCTTTACACAGAGCCACAGCTATTTGTTAGAGCTATTATTAGGCAATCAGTGTATTCAGCACCTACTTGTTTTTCTGTAATGCTGTGGTTGAAAATTACTTACATGTGAAAGTGTTTAACGAACATTTGTTTAGGAACAAATGATGTAGATGCGTTGTCTGTAAGGATTTATCTGCTGGATTTCTACCTGGGAGCTCTTCATGTTATAAAATGTATGCAGCATATAACAGAGTCTTACTTATAGAAGTGCTCAGTCTCCTGTTTTCACACATTAATAAATAAGCAAGCCAGGGCCAAACTTTGCTATCTCCATCCTCGAGTCTGTGGTATCTAGTCTGACAGTTGCCGTTGCCTGGCAACAGGGTGTGGGGTAGACACACTCGAATCTTTAAGAACCAACCTCACAGGGGTTCTTGTGGCGTATATGCATGACCCCAAAACACTCAAGTGATTGTGGGGGCACACACTCTACCCAGTTATTGCTGCAGAAATTTGAATGTTAATTGTTTCTCTTGTTTTCTCTGCTATTAAGACTTGTAACAAGGTCACACTTCTGCTAGATCCAGAGCTTGTTGAAAGCCAACAGTGAGAACGGTGTGGTTTTGCTAAAAAGAAGCTGTATGAGCTCATATTGACTGTGATGCATCTGTGACCTGTGCTTAGTGTCTGTGGCTATGAGAGCTGATTTGTATGTGCAGCCAGTGCTGGTTTGGGCTGACGTACTGAAAATACCAAAGGGCAGTGTGTTGAGGTGAAAATCACCTCTTTTCCTTCGGTACCCACTGTGGCCAACCTTCATCGTGCCATATGTGCAGTGTGTGTTATATTAAGAAAAAAATATGTCTGTGAATTCCTAGCTATGAGTGTGATGTACAGCTTTTGCCTGTAGCAGCATACAGGTTAAAATTAAAGCACATTTAGATGTTAGATCTGTGAGGGCCTTCAGATAGAAAATGGGAAGAAATGACTCAAGAAGCTGGAAGACAAAGTAAACTTGGAATGACTAGACAGTCAGGGCTCCAGATGTGTGTGTGTGTGTGTGTGTGTGTGTGTGTGTGTGTGTGTGTGTGTGTGTGTGTGTGTGTGTGTGTGTGTGTGTGTGTGTGTTTTCACGGAAACTTCACTAGCTAGTCGTTGAAATAGGGCTTAAAATAAACCTGTGATTCATCCCAAACAGCATGAATGTACCTCTTAGAAAAATGAATCCACAGTGCTTTAATTTAAAAGACTGCTACTCTGTGCTGAAGGTAATTGGTTTAGTCATATGAACTTGAATATCTGGTTTCACAGATGTTCTAAAATGTGAATTAAAAAAATAACCTAACCATCTGACTCTTGTTGTCAAATAGTCTTAATTGTCAGAAGAAGAGAAATTCAGGTTGTGTAGCCTTGCCTGCTATCCTGCAACCTCACCTTCACAAAGTGTGTTTTGTACCCACAGATAAAGAAAGAATATGGCAGCAATGTGGTGCCTGCATTCCCTCCAAAGAAGATCTTCACACTGACTCCTGCTGAGGTCGAACAGAGACGAGAACAGCTGGAGAAATACATGCAGGCTGGTAAGTTATTCATGCTAAATGGACTTTTTGCAGATGGCTTGTATTGCATTTCACCTCATTCTCTCTGAATTTAAATTCCAGCTACAATGGTTGTTTTGTCAGGTTTTAAATTAGATACTATTCTTCTCTGAATTGCAGTACACAAATTCAAATTGGGGGGGTATGTTGTGAAAGGGGGGGGAGGGGGAACAGAACAAACTTAGACTTTGCAACACAAATTCCATTGAAATGTTTGCTTCTCCACAACAATCACAAGAATGAGTGCCTTGTTGTCTGCGGGGAGTCCGGACACACACTGGTCTCTTCATGCCACATGAAAGCATAAACGTGTTTCACTAAAGAACTGATGATCTGAGCACATAGTGAGCTGGCACATTGAGCCAAAGCCTCACTAGACTTATGCTGACACACCTGATTTAAAAAAAAAAAAAAAGAACCCCTAGTCAGGATTTTAGGCTTTTAAAAAGTTTTATGGGTTTGGATCCTCTTAGTGATGATGTGTCACCTCTTGGGAAACACACTTGGCTTTTCTCTGAATTTAAAAACTGAATTCCATAAAGAATAATTCATATTTCTTAGACCAGGAAAGGCACATTAGTTATTTCTTCAGTAAACATTCCTCATGACCGTTTTGATAGCTTAAATAATGTATTAAATAATGGTCAAGAACCCAACTGGAGTTCCATTTCCAATTTGGGAGGTTTTCAGCATGTCGCCCAAATTTTGTAAACAGGTCGAGGGTGAACTTTCTGCACACACACATGGATAAGTGGAACTGGCAGCAATGCAGAGGGTTTGTTTTAATCCTCTCAAGCACTGGCAGTTACAGCAGAACAAGGAAGCGTTGTTCAAGTGTGTATGTGCTCATAGTCTGGGAGCATACGCACACAGGGTGTTCTTGGCTTCAAGTTCACTTGGTTACATCATGGCTTTTTACATAGTTATGGAAAATGAACTGCCACAAACACAATCTGTTCTGACGCAGATGGCTCACAACTTTGACATTTTGTCAAAGGGTTAGACTAATTTGTAAAAGCACAATGATGTACAGGGTGCACACACACACACACAAGTTGTATTGTAGTCATACATGGTTATCATGCAGATAATTAAATGCATTACTGACAACTTGTGTATTATTTCTCAAATCTGAGGCCTGCAACATAACAAAAATGGTTTGTAATAATCTACAGTTAATTGAACCTATGCCAAAAACAAGTTAGTTTTACTGGCCTCCCTTTATAAAGTGCGTTTTAAGTTCGGTTAAATTGCCTCGACAGATATTTTGAAAGGTTAAACCCATTTCACAGGAACAAAATTAAACTGTGTGATAAGAGGAAAATTAGGAAGAATTGGGAAATGGCTGCGCCGGAGGAGGTTTATGTTTACATAACATCCAGTAAAAGTCCCTTAACTAATTGCTGAGTTGTAATTTAAAACTGAAACATATCTCTTCTCATCTTCCGCTGGTCCTTCTATTTCAACGAACAGTAAGATGTGACTCATTTTGTACTCAGATTGCTGTTTTGGTTTGGGTCTTAATTTATTTCCTGTTCATTTGTTTTACAGTGCGTCAAGATCCCTTGCTTGGAGCCAGCGAGATGTTCAACAGCTTCTTAAGGAAAGCACAGCAGGTTGGTAGTGTTTTTATTTTTAATCCAGAGAAAACCGCCTAATGCAGGCAGGCTGCTTTCTGTTGCGTCAACATGGTCAACAGGGCGTGCTCCGTGAACCAAAAGGCTGATCCAGTCATTTCTGCCCAGCTAGTAATTACTTGTGGTAATGTGGTTGAGTGAGGTAACTGTATTCTCACCTTTTGTTGCGGTATGCAGCAACTTGTGCTCTTATCATGGGTCGTGTCATCTCTGCTTGTACAGTAGTTGGTTAGATGTGTCAGATTAGGATTTGGCTTGAGTGCAGAAAAGTGTGAAATGATTATGTCAAAGTGAGGGGAAAGCATAGTTGCATCGTGTGTGGGAGCTGGATCCTTCTGAACCATTATATCATACAAAAGAAAAGAGGGCCTAATGATTCATCCCACCAGATTTTGCCAGAAAGATCCCTCTGCATTACTAAAAAATGCAAGCAAATATTAGCTGAAGTGGACGATGCTGTAACAGCACAAACTCACGGTGTGTTGTTGCTGCCTGACAGTAAAAGGCTATTTCAAACGGATGGCGTGTCAATGAGTTATTCAGACCGGGTAGCGAGGTTGATTCATCATCAGTCAAGCTGTGACCTGCATTGCCAGGAGGGCTGTAAATCCAATAACCTTCATGGACAGATTCATCCGTCTGCAGCCACGTCACACCCATTCTGCTTCTCCTCCTCTGTCTTCCTCTCTCATTAGAGTCTGTGTCAACCCCCACACCCTCCACCCTCGGCGCCTTTGTGTACTGCGAGGACAGCAGGTGCAGAATAGGGGATGAGTTACCACCAGCATTGTCATTTCATCTGCACCTTTAGTGGTAGCGATGTGCTTGGAGAATCCCCGCTGAGGGAACAGGGAAGATAAGAGACGATATAGCAGAAGTGGTGAGAGGCTGCCTGGGGACAGGAGACGCTGGGGTTATCTAGCTTAAGATTTCATACTTCTTAATATGAGCTCAGAAGTTATTATTTAGACTTTTGAAATATTCATAGCTTTTGGCAGTTCAGTTTATTTCCCTTACTTGCTATTCATTGATTTTGTGTTTTTTTTTCTTCCATCGTCTGCCTTGTTCAGTTAAGGAATGAACAGAAGGACAAACACAGCAGTACTAATGCATACAGTTTCCTTTATGTCTCTGTGAGCTGAGGACGGAAATAAATAGATGGGACTACTAGAGCTGCAACAATTATTCAGCTGAATTAGTTGAGTGACAGAAAATTAATCTGCAATAATTTTGATAATCAAGTTATCACTTTGTCTTCTTTTCCTTGGTTTCCTTATTCTTCTGCACTTGTACGCTGAATATCTTTGGATTTTTGACTGTTCCATTCAATGTTATTTGCTTTTACATGATGGGATTATAAAGCGCTTTATGAAAAGTGGAAATATGGAATGGGTAGCTTGTATGTTTTGTTCTCCTCTCTGACCAACCCATGCTTTTTTTTTTTTCTGCCCATGTGACTCAGTGTGATTTTGTTTTTGACCGACAGGAATGAAAACACGTAGATTACCCATGAAGCTGAAGGAAAGCCTGTTATGTTTTGTGTCTTTCCCACAGGAGACGCAGCAGATTCCCACAGAAGATGTCGCTTTAGACATCTGCCTCTCCAACGGTCAGAAGGTTACAGTCAACATTCTGACCTCGGATCAGACGGAGGATGTGCTTGATGTAAGTGCATAAACATACAGTTGTTTAGTCAGCACTCCACCTAGTATACAACTTGTAAAGATTTGTAAGTACATTTTCTAATGAAAAGTTATACAAATTAAACATTTGTTAGGAAAACAAGACCCAACAGCAAAAAAGTGTAGCTTGGCTGAATGTTTCAATTCAGTGATTGATGGTAGATATAATAAATAATCCATTGCAGGTAATAGGATTATGTTTATAGCAGGAAATTACATGATTTAGAGCTGATTTAACTGCAAGTGGCCAGAATCCCTGCTATCATTTGAGGTCTTTTATGGTTTGTTATCAACATTTGCAGTGTTTGTGTACGTTTAAGTGTTTGCTCTCCGCCATTCATAACAGTGCTTACAGACACCTTGGTTTTCCCTCAGGCAAACAGTATTGATGTAGACTCTTCTGCAAGCTCTGATGTTTTACAGACATTACATTCACCGTTGTAAATGAAATGAAGTCACATTTATTTTTGTAGACCCTCTTCCCCAAAGCAAGGATCAAAGGAGTTTATGAAGTCAGGGCTACTTCGATCTAAGTTACCAAAGATTACAAAACAAAAGCAAGAAGCATTAAATGGCACGATTCAATTGAAATGGAATAAGACTTGGACAAGTTAAAGGTCCAGTGTGCAACATTTAGGAGGATCTATTGGAAGAAACTGAATATAATATTCATAGGTGCTTTCCTTTCATTACTGTCATCACCTGGAAAAAAAAGTTTTAATTTGCTTTGGGATAACACATTTTTATCTACATAGCTATAGAAACATAGATACCTCACTGGCTGCTGCTGTATGCCACCACTCAACATCTGTGCAGTCCCCATATTGTGGAGGTCAAGATCTGCTAGTTGTAACTCAGTTAATTTAGTTTGTTATATACGCGAGAATCTGATTTCTTGTAGGAATTAGGAACTAGGAGCAGATCTAATCAACTCTATGCCAAAAACTTAACCTTTTGAATAGACACAAATGCTGGCTGTGATCTATGAATAGGCATCTTCAAGTGTAAATTATTTAGAATTTTAGCTTTTGTCTGTTTCTCTTAAAATGTTTTCTATACATGTTATCTTGTTCCAACGCTATCTGCTTGCTCGTTGTGAAATGTGAGTTTGTCTACAGGAAAACATTATTCAACATAAGTTAATTATTTTCCCCACACAGTTTTTCCTGGTTCCTCGTTAGACAGTAATTTGTAGCCTACCATGTGTTGATACTTGCACCGCCTCACACACATTAGTATTCATGTATTCATTGATTTTATTCTGTATTTTTTCTAAAGTGCTGGTCTGACTAGTGGTGGCTGGTTGTTTTTTGTTATCAGTGCCCGTCAAGAAAATTTTGGCTGGTTGTACATCCAAACGCTGCACATGCCTGCAGCATTTTTCCAAGTGGTGACTTTTGACCATTTTTTTTTTAGCATAGAGCTGATCATATCCACTCCCAGTAACTAAACATTTATAACACACCAAATATCATGGAAATTGGTTAAAAATTAAGCAATCAAGCAGTCCATGTTGTTGTGAAGTCTGAATCTCTCAGTATTGATAAGTAGTGGATCTTGACCTCCCCAATATGGCGACGGCACAGACTCGCAGTATCTACGTTTCTATATCCATGAGCAGGTCCACCATGTTGAACCGCCACGTTTCTACAGTAGCCCAGAACGGACAAACCAAACCCTGGCTCTAAATAGGGCCCTTCGCATTTTTCGGGAGTTGTGTGCTAGTTTCTCCTACACACTTGGAAGGCTGAGCTGTATTCAAATGGTTGCAATCTGCAACTTCACTGCTAGATACCACTGAATCCTACACACAGGTCAACTCAACAGCGGTGTTCAGGGAATGTTAGGAAAAGAAGTATTTTGGAAAGGGGTTCTTAGAGGACATTTGTTTTAAGGGATGTTTAGACCAAAGATTCACAACGAGATAAGTTGAAACTTTCAACTACTACTTCAACTACACCAATGTGACAAGATGAATTCCATAGCAATGACTCTTTACTTACAGTGTTTCTGTCTGCTTTCTGTAGTGCAGCTCCATGCTGCCTTCACAGGAACTGGTTGTCAGAGTATCGTCTATAAAATTTCACTAACATGGTGTTTACTGTATCCGCTCAGGAAAAAGCTTTCTCTTCCTCTGTATTTCCCATGGAGGAATTTGCTCTTGTTGAAGGCATTCATTTCTCTCAAGGATACATCGTAAAGTGTTACTGCTGTTGTTACAAATTTACAAGAGAGATAGTCCACCATCGACTTCCTGTGAAAGCAACATAACACATTAACACAAGACAACACAGTTGCATTTGTTTAACACTCTTATATATAATTTCTATTTACATTGCTTTTTTGCTCCCTAGAAAACAAATGGTGATATGTCCAATTAAATCAAATCTGTTATTTGGCATTCAATGACATTCTTTCTTAGAGTAATATTTAAGAATAATAATCAACATTAATATTCAGGGAGGACAATTAGCCTACATTTTATTTGATAAGCGGCAGTAAGAAACCTGGATAATAGATAGTGGGTCGTATAGTGGGTCCAATAAAGGTTGAAGACCATTGTTTTAGTACATACATGTCCTCTGCTCTCAATTGACCATAACCCCACATAGTCTAAAATAAGTCAACACAGTAAACATGCTGAGGTTTCATCATGATGTCCTTGGCTGTAATTCAAGCTTGTTAGAGTGCTGTTTAAGTGCTCTTATGAAATTTTTAACCACAGTTAACCTCTGTTCACCACAGCAAGTCTCACACAACAGAGTTTCCTGCTGCTTGTGTGTGTGTTCGCTTGACAACAGTTGCACTCAGATTTGTAGCATTTGTTTGTTAAGTAAGTAAGCAGTTGAATTACAGGAGTTAAAAAGCAGACTAAACAAGAAATGGTAGTACAGCACACATATAATCAAACAATTATTTTATCACACAAGTAGCAATAATGCATTGTGCAGATCTTGGAAAGATCCTCCTGATTAAAAAGTGTTTTATTGGGTACCTGCTTACATATAGTTTCTTATATTTGGCAAACCAAAGGCTCTCCATAAATGGAATCATAAATAATAAAAATGACAAAAACAAAGCACATTTATCTTCTTGAACTTAATGATTATTCTATCACTTTAGAGCTTGTTGTATAATTAAGATGTTAAAGTATGATTGTGTCACTTTCCATTCTTTCTCTTCTTTCTGAGCTGTTTTGTTTAATCCTATCTGTTTTAAAACTGTTTTATCTTCATTAATCTTGACTTACTGAAAAAATAGAAATTCAGAGGAAAGGATCAGTAAATTTAATTTCACTTTCTCATCTTTGCGCAGGCTGTTGCAACAAAGCTTGACCTTCCTGATGACCTCGTTGGTTACTTCAGTCTCTTCCTCATCCGTGAGGGCGTGGATGGAGGTTTAACATGTAAGTCTCAACACTAATTTCCTAAAGAATCAGATGAATACGAGGAAGAAAAACATCTCATATTTCCCAGTCATTACTAATAAAAGTATTTCATATAATGTCCCATTTATATGATTATTATTGGTTTATGCAAATGGGAGAGAAATACATAATTCATTACTTCTGATTATTTAGATTCACTCTGGAAACAAACACTGCGGCTGGAAACCTTTAAATAATTTTGTTCAGTCTTGTTTATCAAGGCAAACTAAATGAGCAACACACTGATGAAATAATGTAAATTTAAACTACTTCAGCCTTAAGCCTTTCTCTGAAGACACACAAATCAGAACTTAAAAGACAAATTTTTCCAGACAACTTTTTTATGTTGCACTGAAGAATACCTTTCTGGGTAACCAAAGGGAATTATGTACTGTAATATCATACTTATTTAGTTTTCTATAAAAATATTTCTGAATTCCCCGCAATGAAGCATAAAGAGTTGGCTCTGGCAACAGTTCAGCGGCTCAGTTAATCTGTCTTGCTGTTTGGAGATATACTGTAGTTTAATTAAAAAAGAGGAGCCGCGTCGCCCCATGAGAGTTGTGTCTTGTATCTGAGTTCCTACAGTATCTCTGGCTGGAATGCATAATTCATTTATTAGGTGCTCAGAAGCTCAGTGAGAGTCGGGCCTCTGTGTGTTTGTTGGCTGATTCGTGCAGTTGTGCAGTGTTTAGAGTGGCGTGAGCTCACATACTTGGCTGCGTGCGCTGTTTTCAGTTTGAGAATGTATTTGTTGTGGCTCTAAAATCACACTAGTGTCGGCTACAAAAACAGCATTCACACGCCAACTTCTGATTAGAAAAGTGATTTTTTTTTCTCCAGAAAAACAGCAGGAGGAGTCTACCATTTCATCAGACTATTCAAATTGGAAGATTTACACAAAAATCCAAATTTGGGGTTGGGGCAACTGTACTTGTTTAGGCTACCTAAATACCTTTTATATTTTTTATAATTTGGTGATTTTAATTTTGTTTTCCCCTCTGCATTTATATTGGGCACATTTTAATATTTTCCCACACCATAGTTCTTTGCTGTTAATAAGTGAAGTCATCATACAGGAGGAAGATGAAATGAATTAATCCCACTGGGAAACTGCATCGTCATTATCATTAAAAAAATCATAAAAGAAACAAAATAAGGGCACCCAAAGAGGTAGATAAGCAGTTAATAACTAAAATCTTTATTGGAAACTGAACAAAACTAGGACCATGCTATAAATCTATATATAATTAATTCTAGTGCCTGGTAATATTCTGTTCATGGTCAGTGTAAGTCTAATATATCTATATCTCTATGTGGCTCTATATTGATCTGACATTGGAATTGCAATTCCCTGAGTGTTGAAAATAACTGTACAGTGAATCTAACCGCTAATTTAGACCATATTAATGTGGTCTAAAAAGTGAGTCCTAAATTGGTTGCATATTTTACCAAATGTATGTAAATGCCCATCATACTGTATACCTTTTTGGTCTGAAGCAGAGGTGTTTCTGGCATTGCAGCTCAGTTTGACATATTTTACCATAATTTTGAGCTTGTTCCTCACGTTCCTGACTTACTAAGCAGCTTTGCAGTTTTTCTGACCAGTGCCCCGGAAATTTAGGCACAGATTATTTGCTGCCTTTCAAGCTCTGTTTCATGTTCTTCAGTGTAGTGGCGGTAGCAGCACTCCAGTTCTCAGAGGTGGCTGATATATTTGTTATTCGTAATGGTGTGAGTGCAAATTATAGTACAATATTTACATCTACATCTGTTGTCACAAGGAATACCACAGTGACACAGGCATAAAGCTTTCCGCACTAAGACATTTCAGTTTTCCAATCCCTCTCTTTCCATTTCATCACAGCCCTGTCGGGTCAAATCCCTGCTCAGTCCCAAAGGTTCTCTTCTCTCGTCTTCCATCTGCCAAATGCTCCCCTACTCCTCACGCCAAATCCATTCCAGGCTGAAAATGGTGCCAGGTGAACTTGGAGGAATCTGTAAATATTACAGGCATGTTGTATATTCTTGGCACAGTTAAAATCTGAATATCTGAGTGGTATGAAAGACGGGCCATGAGTTAAATATGACTCGACTACTAGAATAAATCTGGCGCAGCAGGCCCCGGATCAAACACAACTGGTGGGAGTATTGACATAACAGGATAGCAAGAAGAATTCAGTTCCTCTCTCACAGGCAGTAAGTTTCCCTGAAGTCTGTTTAAATCAATACTGCAAAATATGTAAAGACATGTCAAGAAGAGACAGTATGTGGTTTGAAATAGCAGTGCTGGTCTTCTTATTTATGTATTGATTTAGTCACTCACCTGTTCCAAAAAGATTTTAAGCATTCAGTTTGTATCTGTTTATTTTATTTTTTTTTATTATTCCTGGTGAGATTTGCAACATCAAAGTAACCAGCATGTGTTTCTGCTTCCTGCACACAGCATCTCTGCCCATAAAGCAGTAAACACACTTGAACAAATCTAATAGCAAACTAAAGCGCTGTTCAGTCATCTGATTCACGTTTATTGGTGCCTGGAAACCCAGCAGCAGCATCAGCAAGCACCTGAGATCTCCTTCACTCTCCTTGGGGAACGGGCCGCAGTGAAACAGCTGCAGATTAGGGACACACACACACACACACACACACACACACTCACACACACTCGGAGAGCCCATTATCTTTTTTTCATATTTGAATACTCGCACGCACAAAAAGTTTTATCCTTCTGGGACCTGTCCAGATGGAGTTCTCCCATCCCTCGATGTTGTTGTTACCATCATTATCCAAATGTCCTTGGGACTTAGCTGGAGCTGCGCTTGTTCCTGACTCTCTCCCTCTCTCTCTCTGTTTTTCTGTTTCTCTCTCTCAGTTGTGCGGAAGCTGCAGGAGTTTGAGCTGCCTTATGTATCCATTACCAGCTTGCGGAGCTCTGAATTTCACATACTCCTACGGAAAAGGTACCCACCACCTGCTCACATCATGACTTTGAATTTCATCACATCCTTCCCAAAGCGCTTACTCCCACATGAAAATACAGCTGTGATTGATTGTCCAGAGTATTCGTTTGTTATTTATCTAATCCTATAAAGAAGCAGGTCAGATATTTGTGTTTTGGTAAGCAGTACATAAATAACATCTTCTGTAATGTTGTAAGGCACTCGGTTTTCTTTTTTTTCCATTCTGGGTGTTGCTCCTTTCATTCGTTATCTGCAGTGAAGCACTTGTTCTTAATGTGTCAGTGCAGCGGTTAGCTTAACCATGGGCTGCTTATCCGACTTCACCATCTTCTACAAAGTGGCAGTTAATTTGAAAAAGAGACCTGAGTCATTTGTTTTACAATTTATTTTGCCAGGCACAGTCGTTATCATGACCAGACGGGTGGTGCTTTTGACTGTGACGCCAGAAAGGTCAGGGATTAGACAGAGACATGAATGGACAATAGATAGAAATACATCAAATTATGTTATTAATCTCCTCGCCACTTAAAATTACTCATATTGCCGTTTTGAATTACTGTTTATAAACCGACAACAGCCTACAACAGCTCCACATGGAGCCTAAAAAAGCATTTACCAATGCTATTGTGCTGACCTTTATTGCACTAATATTCAACTTGGATCCTTTATTAGTTGCTTGTCCAATCATTGTTAATGATTGATTTAAAAAAATGTAGGGTGGTGGAGCGTGACTTTTTTTTGCTTCTGAAGGGGGGGTGCGCCAGAAAAAGAACCTACTAGAAACAATCCCTAAGCAAACAGCCCAGTATCTTTAACTGGTCAAACAGGACAAACCAGAATGAAGTCAGAAGAAGGGAATATGATAACTTCTCTTGCTATAGATTTGAGGTTGTATTGTTCAGCCCTATTTCATGCCTCCCACTGCTCATTGGAAGTTATAGCATCTTCATCTAAGGCCAGAATTATGCATCACTGAGAGCTGAACTAGTCATTTACTCTCATTATGTTTAAGGTTTCCCCACAGGTTGAGAATTTATTTGAAAGGTCCAGTGTGTAAGATTTAGGAGGATCTATTGGCAGAAATACAATATAATATTCATAAGTATGTTTTCATTAGTGTATAATCACCAGAAAATAAGAATTGTTTGTTACCTTAGAATGAGCTGTTTTTATTTATAGACGCTTTGGGTCAACTTCCTTGGTGGCTGTCATTTTGAACCGCTATAGATGTTTCTACAATAGCCCAGAAGGGACAAACCAAACACTGGCTCTAGATTGGGCCGTTCACGTTTTTTGTGCGTTTTACTGCCATCGTAGTTTCTCCTTGCGCTTGGAAAGGGAGGGTGAACTACAGCGCGAGATGCCACTAAATCCTACACACTGGTCCTTTGAAGGTGGTTAGGAATGGAAGCACTTGTTTTTACACACAAAGTATTCCCATGAAACAAAATCCCTTCTTTAAACCTAAAAATTCTCTGGTTCTTGTTCATGTTACCGTTACCATTTAAAATTGTAAAACTGTAGCTTTGCCTGTTATGAGAGGGAACGTGGTTCAGAGCTGCTTGTGCAGGGAAATGGGCATCTGTCATCAAGGGCCGCATGTCACAAAAAAAGTATGGAAAACAAAAATCTCCATGGGTGGGCCACCCAAACAAACTCTATGCTTGGCAAATACTGATGTTGCTTCCCCATAAAGCCTAAAGTTAGTGACTGCGCCCCACTTCAACATAACATTTTTCTACTTCCTCGTGTGTCTGTTCTTTCGTCACCCTGCCTCCCGCTGACTGAGGTACACAGGATGTTTACTTTCTTTCCGCCTCAAGGAAAGTCTTAGTCCTCCTGACCTAGTTTCTCTGGGGAGTGTAGAGCAGCAAAGGAAGAATGAATGTAGAACCAACAAGTGGAGGTGGAGGAAAAACAGACCCCCACTGTATGAGATCCAGAAGAAGGATCAGGTCGGAATGAATCGAAAATCTCTTTTTGGATAAAAAGTGCATGCCAAGAATGGAGGAAATGTTTTCTCTATCCAATCAGAACATTTAAATTACATTATGTCATCCTTTTTTGTGTGTGTTTTCCAAAGCATTCATGAAATAAAAACAGGCATATGAATAGTGTTGGAGGTTTTTGTAGGTCAGCAGCAATCTGCCCTTGTGTATTTATAATGCAGAAGTGTTGACATTTTTAATCTGTATATTTATTAAGAGAATTCAAACCAAAGACCACACGCCTCAGCTTCCAGTGCACGTTTAAATGGAACTAAAGCAGCAAAATAAAAGCACTCGTCTCACGCACACATACACATCTTTATTCCACGACTCGTATTCTCTTACTCCCTTCCTTCCCTCCTCCTTAATCTTCTTCTCCCTTGTTACCTGCTTTGAATTGCTAATGTGGCCAGGCAGCATGCTTCACATCTGCCTGAACAACTTTCTCCATCCACTAACACCCCTTGTGTCATGCATTTACAACATGTAAAATGTTACGCCTGCGGTAAAGTGTTTTTCAAGGCATAAATGAATGCAATGAGATTTTTGTGTAGAAAATATTAATCCTAAAGACGTGTATGAAAGCAGTGTCAGTTAAGAAGACATTGCACATCCAGGGGGAAAGATATAAAAACACATGGGAGTGAAGTATCTTAAATCACAGTGATAAATATGGCCAAAATCTTTTTTTTTTTTTTTTTTTTCCTCAAGTCAGACTGAGTTAAAGCCTGGATATTTTCTGTCTGCCTTTCCTTTTTTTGGGCCATTTTCATATGTAATCCCAGATCTGATCGTTCTCTCTGAACTGAATTCATGCATTTTGTAAATGTTGCACTCCGCTCCTCAGGCTGCTCTCTGTCAAGCACACACATCTCTTTTCACTAAAGTACCAGCAACAGCGTCTAATGCAACTACAGTGCTGCCTGTCTCACTCACACAACTGTCCTTCAACCTTTAACAGGAAATAATGATTGAGATGAATGTTTACATCTACTATCTCATGGACATTGGCTTGAGGAATGTAGTCTATAACTTACTCTCATTGCACAGATTGAACAATGTGCCAACTCGCCTGTATATTTAACATGCTGATATTGAAGTTGATCGTACATTAGCTAGACTAACTTAAAAAACTGAAGGATTAAGTGTTCCTTTATGAACTGAGGGAATTCTTCTTAGACTAAATGAACCATTTAAAAACAATTATCTGAAACTTGGATTGTCACAGTTAATGGTTTTTGAGATCCATTATTTTGACAGGACAGCAGCGCAATGTAGCGTTGCTCAGTATGCAGACAGAGTCATGGGAGATCATATACTTAGTGGCAAATAGCCAAATATGATTGTGTTTTTATAGAGTCATCCTGGCAAATTGGTAATTGTAACTGCCACTTTGTTCATTCTAATTTATGCCTGGATGTAGATTTGTAAAGACTGACTCTGGCTTTTCTTCCTGCAGCTACTGGGACATGGCGTACGATGGGGATGTCATGGACAACAGAGTTGGCCTGAATTTGCTTTACGCCCAGGTAAGAGGTTTCATTACTTGGGCGAACCAGAAGCTGTCATTTATTTTCCGCTGTAACCGTAGTCTTTAAAAAATGCCTTTTAAGTTAAATTCCCCCTGAGATGTGGAACCAAGCAGAAAATCCAAATTAGACGAGATTGTTTGTTTACTTCTTTCATCTGTTGAGTTTTATTGTGCTCGCCTGGTGCCAGCATCACATCAAGAAACCTAAATCAAGCATGCTTTCATTCCTGGCCTTCCAAAATGCTTTTGTCCATCCCCCCCAGGCCCCTCTGTTATCTGATAGCGATGTCAGCTTGTTTTGACTTTGCAACCCCTTGACTCCTGTACCTTTTTGTGTTCCTCCGTGATCCTATTAGCAGCGGATTCCCTTTGCGACAACTGCAATCTGTTGTATTAAGCATTTTTTGGGCTGCGAGTTTGATTAAAATCTGGAACTGCTGAGTGTTGCCTCTGTGTAGCAGAGAGGAGGTTTAAAAAAAAAAAAAAACAATAAACAGTGTTCGCAAGCATGTGCATTTGGGCATGTTTCTGTGTAATTTGCTGACCTGCACTGTTCACGTGAAAGGCTCAGGGTGTGATTTCTCCCACACGTATTAAAGGAATGCACGAAAACCTGCCTTGTTTTGTTCGTCTGCGCAGAGAGATGAACTTCAGTTCTTGTTTTTGCTTCACCAGACAGTGTCTGACATTGAGCGAAGCTGGATTCTCGTCAACAAAGACCAGCACCGGCAGCTCAAATCACTGCAGGAGAAAGGCTCCAAGAAAGAAGTAAGCAAGGGCATCTCTTCTAGATGATTCTACCTTTTTATAGCGTCTCGCATGAATACAGTTGATACTCTGCTGATGTCTGTCCAAGGATAAATCTGTGGACCGTAGAGAATACCGCCTCTAGTGCATTCTGTGATGCAATTAGCCTAGTTTTTCCCATGATATGAATTTTTAATCGCACCATTTCAGTAGAGAATTTAAATGTATTTTCTCCTGGGATTAGACAAAGACAGATGTTTTTTTTGTATAGAAAAGTTAAAAAATAAAAAGCATGAAAACTGATTTTATGCTTTTTCTTCTTTCTCACCAGTTCATCCATCTAGGTCAGACTCTCAAATACTATGGTTATATCAAGTTTGACCCTTGTATCACTGACTTCCCCGAGAAGGGCTGCCAAGTCATCGTCAGTGCAGGCAACAATGAGCTCAACTTCCACGTCAAGCTGCCCAACGAACAGATGAAGGAGGGAAGCTTCAAGGTCACTCGCATGAGGTGTTGGCGAGTCACGTCTTCTGTAAGTGGAGTTTCTGTTAGCTAATGTAGTGTACTGTGCGTGCGTGCGTGCGTGCGTGTGTGTGCGCGCAAGACAGCGAGGGTGAGTGAATTCACCTTCAAACATGCCTGTATCTCCAAAGCTCTGAAATAATCAAATTGGAATCTCTCCCTATTATTAGGAGACTGTGAGCTGGCAGAGTTAGAGATGTAGCAGCTTTGGCTAGAGTCCTTCTCAAACCAACAAGGGCTTCCTGTGCTTCCAAAGTCTCCTGTTTACAAACCTCCTCTCACCACTGCACCAGAAATGTCTTTAGTCTTGCCAAGCATTAGTTTTTTACTCCTACTGCTCGCTAAAAGTGCTGACCTCCACACCATCCATCTTCATCAGTCCAATTACCCAAACACGCAGCCCACACAAGGATAGTGCTGTATTGATCCACCAGCCTCACACATAGAGCAGCATCCTTTCTTTGAACTAATAATTGACTGATGGCATGCAATGCGAGAAACCACCTACAAAGCCTACTCTGTATACATCCGTACAGTGTTAACAACTCCAGTAATATCTTAAGAAATTAATAGACTTTTTACACTAAAAATAAAACCTCAGAGACTTCCAGGGAAAGGAAAGAGAGAGCAAAGGTGCTGCTTCACTCAGCAAAGACCGTATATTTAACGCATGAGGCTACTGTTTAGACGGTCACCTAGTAACTGAATTGATCAGTAAACATGAGGTGCTATCAGAGTCTGTCGGACTCGGCTCAAGTGATGACGGTGAGTGATTGATCGGGCCTACACGTGGCAGGTTCAATTCACAGTAATTAATCATTGCAGTGTGCTGCACTGCCACTGGAGAAAAAAAAGAATACATTTTTGTTATTTACCAGAAAATGTTTGAGGCAGACGTAATCAGTCACAGTCAGCTGGACATTTGTGTAAAAAAACAACAACAAATTACCAAAAAAACAGTGCTCCTGCCAAAATGATGAGATGTAAAATGACTGGAAAAACCCACAGAATGCAGAATAACAAAACCATGAAATAGATGACTTTTAAAGGGACATTCCACCAATTTTAGACTTAAACATCAGTTTACTCCTTATGGGGAGAGAAGTGCTTTATAATGTCCTCTGTGGTTCTGGAGGAGCTCCCTACAGTCTGAAATAAAATAAGAATAACCCCGATCATGTCTTCAGTGTTGTTTTTAACATAAAGTCAGTGGTAAGGTTTGACAGAAGTGTCGATTTAGGAGGCAAGGAGGATTCATTGAAGATTCAGGTCCAGTTGCATTATGGGAAATTTAGTACCCAGTGGTTTTGGAGCTTGAGACTAAAAGTCAGGATTTCTCAGCTTCTGCTGCACAGATTTTGACCAGGTCCCTTTTTAGTAAGTCTCTAATAAGCCCACCAAATTTATATAAATGTAATACTAAATCACTGGGGCAGCCCTTTAAAAAGGGGCAGACTATGGTGAATTGAACCTGTACCTGGTGAGAAATTCACAACAAATTCTCTGTCCTAAAGAATGAAAAAATCTCCATAATGTCACCAAGAATCTACATAAATTACACCATCATGCACCGCACTGCGTTGAATCTGCATTTTCTTCCGCTTCCACCCAATCAGTCATCTTGAAAAGAGACAGCTCAACAGTCTATTTTCACTTCTGTGAATAGCTGAGAAAAGCACGACTCGCAGCTCTACCCACATCATTTCAGCTAGCATGAAAGCTAGATGCAAGACCTCATTTAAATGTAGATGGAGAAAACAGTTCGCTTTTGCAGTGCATTAGTGTTCGAGCAGCACTGTCGTTATGTGTATCACAGAAGCTTTTATGATTCTCCTTAAGTTCATTTGCACAGAGCTCTAAAATTAAAATGCATCTTGGCTCGTCTGATTACAGACTAAGCCCCCACACTGTCCAGCAGGGTGGTTAATTCCTGAGCTCACTCTCAGAGGTCAAAGTCATTTTAATGAGCTCTTTCCTTCCCAGCAAACTATTCCAAACATCTCATTTGCTTCATCACTGCAGCCCCCCCCCTCATAGACCAATCTCAAATTGCGTCCGGAAGAAAGTGTATATAAACAATCAGCGTGTGTGTATGTGTCAGACCTTTTTGTTTTTGTCTGTATTTCTCCCTTATGCTATCTTTGTGTGTGTGGTTAGCATGCGAGGTACAGCTAGTTTCTGGCCCAGAGGAAATAGTCTCAGTGAAGAGCACAGGCTGCATTAAAGAGGAATGAGGGCTCGTCTCCAGGGAACTGTGTCTGAGCTTCACATATTCTTGAAGGCATTTGAAATTCCGTATTTGTACATATTTCTTTCTCTCTCTGCACCCGTGTTAATCTTTTAGCGTGTGTCTTTGTTAAGATTTGACTGCCTGTCACTGGCGATGCAGGATAGAAAACGTGATTTATCTGCTTACACAAGCCTCCAGTCAGGAAGTAGAATTGCTCTTATCCTCGACTTAAGAATGCAAGTTGGATGTTGGTTAAGAGCTCTGGAAATCTGTTTCTTTTTCATGCACTGTGAGCACAAAAAATACAGATTTAATTTGATTCTGATGGGTGGGGGGGGAATTGACACTAGTATAAACATAAATTAAGAGTGGTGGATGATAACAGTAACAACAGTTTAAAATCTATTCTCCATCTTTCTGTCTGACTCTGCAGCAAGTCCCCATAGCCAATGGCACCACCAATCCCTGCAGCTCCTCCAAATGCGAGGTCAAACTGGAGCTCGCCTTCGAGTATCTGATGAGCAAGGACCGCCTCCAGTGGGTCACCATCACCAGTCAACAGGTAAGAAGTTGCTGACATTTTGTTCCTGCAATTCTTCTGCTTCAAACGACTCCAGGATGTATTTTCTGAAACGTCTAAGAAAGCTGTTCAGTACTGCAGATTTTTTTTGACTTTCAGTCTGTGATTTCAGGCCATCATGATGAGTATCTGCCTTCAGTCTATGGTGGACGAATTAATGGTGAAGAAGTCAGGTGGCAGCATAAAAAAGGTTTGTGTAAATAAGAATGTAAAAACACCAAAATGACCAAAACCTATTGAATATATATATATCATTTTTGATGTAACATTTTACTGTATTAATATACACATTATAGCATCTTACAGCATTATTTTGATCATGAATTGTCTATAACTATGTGTTTTTTATTTTGGTGACAAATAGGTCATTGGACTGCTGTGCTGAAAATGTAAAAGCAAAGCAAGCAGCCACAGATTGCTTTATAATATTGTGTTCTTCACTCTGTCACCTTCTAGATGCTGAGGAAACGACACAACGGCTCCATCCACCGGCCAGACAGTCAGCAAGCTGTGAAATCTCCCCCTCTACTGGTGAGAAATGGGACAGTGTGCCCTTAAGTTTGAATTAGATTTGGACTTTGTGTAGATTTCAGGATTAAACTTGACTCTGCGTGTTGTTTTTGGCTGCAGGACTCCCCTGACCCGAACCGTGAACAAATCGTCAAACTCTCAGTGAGTATATTTTTGACTTTTTTTTTATTCCTTACTTGTTATTTTCTAAAGTATAGTGCTTTAAAAAAATGTGTTTAAGAAAATAGTACAACATGCAACTGAATAGTGGGGTCAGATAATGTATTCCCAGAACCCGTAAACATATTCTAATATCAATATTCTAATTAATCAGTGTCAGCACAGAGTTAAGTATATTATTGATTATTCCATTTAGACCAAGCTGAGCTCCGTGTCCCTTCGAGGGATCAGCGCCTCCAACTCGGCAAACGATATCAGCGGCAATGATTTCCACGGCAACTATGCTTTCGAGGGAATCGGGGATGATGACCTGTAACCGCGCCACGCCCTGCCCCCCCTCCCCTCCTCCTTATCATTCCACTGTCAGCGACTGGGACGACAAAGATTACAAGCTGAGCTGAGCCGAGCCGAGCGGACCGCACACAGTGTCCGATTCTGCAAGATTGTAGCTTCTTCCTGGAGAAATCGCTGCCTTAAGCTCTCATTTAATCTTTGACGGTGTCCTTTTTTCTTTTAGACTCTAAAAGCTCATTTTAAATGGTATTTTTGTTACAATCATCATATTCAATTAGAAACTTTGTCCCAGTGTTATTAAACGTGTGGCAACATACAGTTAATAGCATGTAAAACTACAGGTACTCAAATAGGGAGGCTTCCTGTTTGGTTCCTACTTCAGTTTCATTTACAATGGATTACTGTTTCATCTGCAGTATATGTGAAGTTCTGTAACGCGGTTCAGTTCATGAAGGTACAAAGTAAATTAATATATTATAAACCACATAAAGAAAACCTGTTAGATCCTGGATTCTTGCTTCGGGTGGCTGCATGTTCCTGCCCAACCAGAGAGCCAAACGTTCAGTTAGACCTGGCACTAGTGATAATACAGCAGAACTGGACATGGATAGTTCTCGGAGTCCAGTGAATGTGTTGAAATCGATCTGAAAACTGTAGACTATTCAGAGCAACCGCTTACTCATATGGATGATCAATGTTTGGCTTGGCTATATACCAAAATGTCATGTTTTTATACTGTTAGTCGTCCTCCGTGCGTGATGCTACTCATGCGCCAAGTCCATGAATATCTTAGCAAGATTCCAGCGGTGTTTTCTCAGCGTACATTTGGGGCACAGTCACTCATACTGCCTTCAGAAATAGTCTGATGCCTTAACTTTTACTTTTTAGCGTCGCAGGTTTTTCAATTAACCAGACATTGGTTGAGACTTAACAGAAATGTCAGCGCCAGCCGGTGTTACCTAGAATCTTGCAGAACTTGATAGATGGTTGTCTTTGGCTGAGCTGCTTGCACTTGCTGAACCCATCATTTTGCACAGTATTACAGGTGGAGTTAAATGTTCGAGTGGAAGCTCGAGCATGGCTTTTAACTTTGTGTGGAGACTTCTTTTTTTTCCCCAAGGGGCTCCGTAAATCCATCTATGATTTTTTTTTTTTTTTTTTAAACCAATTTTTTAAAGGTTTCTCATAAATGCCAAATTATAGTTTACTAAAGCATTTTGCACAAAATAAACATAAAAATTATGACAATGTCACTTTTTATATTATGTACATGCAATTAAGTATTCTGAACATTTACTAATATCTTTATCATCAATAGCTTATTGTAATCAAATAGATCAAATGTAATCTAAGCTGTATAGAACAAAAAAGGTTAAGTGGACTAACATTTATCATTGTTTACATAATGTTTAGGGGACTTTTTATTAGTTAAAAATGGAAAGTGTTTACAAAATTTTGCATCTGATTTTCTTCGTCTTGTTCGTTTTGGGGCGAGCGACGGTGTTGTGGGGAGCGTTTGGGGCTTCAGTTTATTGTACTTTGTATGTACATTGTGCCAATCATCTCAGAGGATTTAGTCGAAAAGGTGCTTTGGTTGAAGTGGCTAATGTGATCGCAATTGCTGGAGTAAACAAAGTTCGTGGAGAGCAGGCAACAAAATGAACATATCTAGCTGTTTTCTAAGACATGTAATTCCATTTTTTTTTTTTTTTTTTAATCGCTGTTGGCATCTGTCAGCGTGTTTTTTGAAGCATCTAAATGTAAAACAATGCCAACCTATCAGCAGCTTTACTCTCACTGGTAGCCAGAACTGTAAACAAAAATGTTCTCAATATAAATGTCTCGGTCTTTCACTGCTGTTCTTCTTCTCTGCCATTCATTTTTGTTTCATCTATTCCTGTCAATAATGAGTACATTGAAGCAGCAAAGTCCTGGATGTTAATAAATGTGTAGGTGCCAAATTACACTTTAAAGTGCATTTATCATCAGCATCACTTTTACAATTGCGAGTTTCATGAACATTGTATTGAATTGATCATTCCACTACTTTTCATTTCATTTTGATTTTAGTGGTAAGGTCGGTGACGACTGTCAAGATGCTACAATAAAAACTGAAATTAGGTGATCCTGTGGTTCTCAGTTGTCAGTCAATGCTCCACTTCACTTGTCTTTTCATCATTACTAAACTTTCTTTCACAGCAGCAGCTTCTTGGATATGAAATGTGCCAAAAACCTTCCTTTGTATAAAACAAGTCACAACCATTTCTGTCACAAGTTTCTGTAAAAGAGAACTCTCACCTCATGACGCTGCTTTGATTCTTTATCCATTTGTAGCCCATATAAAAAGATATGTCTGATATATCCGCTAATATTCAGCTTTTACATGATGGAAAATCTCTGATGGACAAACTGTAATGGCAGTTTCTAAATTACCTCAAATATAATATTGGCATTTCTCTACTGTAATTTCTTGTTACTGAACAACATATATTGCTGATATTGATCTATCAGTGCCAAGCAGATATCAGCTGATTTTTCTGGCCTGACCAGTTTCAGTCGGGGCTCTAAATACTTTAATTTGTTCTGCAATATCGTTTCAGTGTCATTACTGCATGAGACTGCAGTCAAACTAGCAGCTGTGTAAGTGTATATAATAGCAAAACGCTAACATGCTGTTTCACAGGTGTTAAGTTTACACAGTTCACCACCTTAGTGCAGATTTACTGCTTACAGTAGGACTCGCTCAAAGTGCAGCTGAGGGAAATGGCAGTTTCACATCTTTTATTTGGTCGTAAAAGTATTGGACAAACTCATTTTAACCTGATGATGGTCCTAGAAGAAAAGTTAAGTAGATTTGAGAAAAAAAGAGACCCAGTCTTTTCTCTTGACATTCAATGAAATGAATTCCATGTGTTTATTTAAAAATCCTCACTTAAGGCATTTATGAGACACTGCATAAAGACAAAAATGGACACTTAGGGGATGTCAGAATTAATCAATGGGTTCAATGCTCCATTGTGTCATGGAAAGTTGGCAACCTGAAAAATCTCACTTGCATATAATAGTAATTCATAAAGAGAGTCAACTTAAATCAGTCCCTATTATTTCTCCCATGATAACTAAATGACACATCACACATTAAAAAAATAAAAGAAAACAATTCTATATATTAAAGTATGCACTTCTAGTAGTGTGTTACTGCCACATTAGAAAAATAAAACAACTATTACACACACATGCTTACTAACAGGGTCATCTCTTTTTCAAGTAAAAAACACGATAATGGGCTAATTTCACAGTCAACAGTAAACAGTAATCAAAAGGAAGGTGATTAAACAGTTTCCATCAAAAAAGACCCAAAAAAATAAACAAAATTTAGGTTGGAAATTTAAAGATTAATGATATGTAACTAGTACAAGTTTGTGGGGAATAAATCCTTTGAACAACACGCTCGATTATGATTTATGTAACGCCTGAATCACATAGAAGAGACGTCGATGCTTTTCCACAACTTAAACCATCCTGTGTCTGTGTATAGTTGTGCTTTTTCTTTAACCATACAACCAAGTAAAGACTGAAGAGGGCTGTTCAAAAATGCTTGTGCATACGTTTAGTGTTAAAATAACTCAAAAAAAAAATTTGTTGCCAACTTTTAGGTCTGTCCAATCACATTTTCATAATCCTGAGGGGTTTGGGGGAGGAAAAAAATGACAACACAGTTCAAGACACTGGAGATTATTCAGTTAGGTTAACACAACCTAATTAATTAATATAGTTTATCGAGGGTAAAATGAGTCCAGTACTATTAAATAGCACTTTGCTAGTAGTACATACATTACTAAATTAATCTGAAGGCATGCCATTACCAGAGCTTGCGCCCAAATGCAAACAAAGCACAATATTGGCCCTTACAAGGACCCATCTTCAATTAAAGCTGCACTGTGTAGTCTAGGTATAAACTTCTAATTCCTTATTAAAATAACCTCATGAAGGCAGTCAGGTAAATGTTATTGGATGATAGGATGTAAAAAAATCTGTAACATTCAAGTTATTTCATGAGATTTTTGGTACAAAAAGAAATGTTATGACTAAAGTTGTGACACTGTAAGTGCTACATCTGATAAATATAGCAGATATATTGCAACATACCAATAAGCAGTTGTCTCTTGTTTAAACAACTGTATGTAAACTACACAGTGCAGCTCAACAGTTCAGGCAAAAATGTGCACAAGTTCCATGTACTGAGGAGTATTTGGTAGTGTTCTCTGTCCTACAATGAAGAACCAGATATGTGTTGTAATATGGGAGGGAAATGATAGGGTTAGTTAGTTAGTGTGGGGTAACATACAGAATGAGACAATCAAAGGACTTCCACGGTAGAGAAAGTCTAATTATCTCGACACAAAAGGAGTAGAAGACGAACTCTGACCAGACTCATCCACCTTACTTAATCCAAAAATGTTCAGAACAATTGTTTTTCATACTTGTGCAAGATACTACAAAGAAACAATTAGCAGCCTCTGAAGACGTCTGACGAAACACTAAAAGACCGGTACACACTAAAACAATATAAAGGCTCTGTGAAAAATAAAAACCAAAAAGAAGTTGCTGGTAGCTTAGTTTTGCTGAGTGATATTTTATACAATCTCAAGTTTGTAGCATGAGTGTATTGTCTGACCTCCCTCCCTAGACATATACTGCATATCGACCCCCGTTTCTTTTCTGTGAGTCTGACTGCCGACTCCCATCCCTTTCCTCACTTCCTCTTCTTCGTCGTTGCCAGTCATTGGAACTTTGACCCAGCCGTCCGTGGCCAGGCCGTGTTTCTTCTGATGTCTCTTGTAATTGTCCCAGTGGCCGGTGGTGTAGCCGCATTCCTGACATTTGTACGGCTTCTCTCCGGTGTGCCGAAGCATGTGCCGCTTCAGGTTCATGCTCTGGTTGCAGCTGTAACTGCACACGGCGCACTGGAAGGGCTTGGCGCCCGAGTGCACCCGCTGGTGGCGCTTCAGGTTGGCCAGGTTTCCGCAGGCGTAGTCACACAAATGGCACTTGTAAGGTTTCTCGCCTGTGTGCACTCGGTGGTGGCGCTTGAGGTTGTCGAAGTGCGCTGAGGCGTAGTCGCACTGTGGGCACTTGTACGGTTTCTCGCCACTGTGAGTTTTCATGTGGCGTGCCAAGTGGTTTGGGTAGTGGGTGAGGAAAGGGCAGGCGGCGCAGGTGTAAACCTTGTCACTGCGCTCGCCGGGGCTGTTGGGAGACGACGAAGAGTCTTTAGTGAGCATTTCAAGGGTGCACTTGGCGCAAATCTGGGCCGAGGAGCCGTCCTCGTCCTCCAGGACAATGCCACACAACCGGCAAGTGTAAGGGAAGAGTGAAGGGGGGAGGGCGACACCGTCTGCTACGCCCCCTCTGGTCGCCCTGCTGCCACCGCCGCCACCGCCGCCGCCGCCGCCTGTGGTCTCCAGCAGGGGTGGAGGCTGGTGGCCAGGAGCCGGGTTAGAGGCTGGTATGGGTGGTGGTGACGCCCCCTTTAAGCCGTCAAAGGCTGATAGGTAGTCATTATTCTGGGCTCCCAAACTCAGGTTCGAAGTCGGCCTTGCAACTTCTAAAACTTCAGAAAAAGGTGAGAGAGTGAAATTTTGTAATGTGTGACGTTATAAAAAAATGGAAATGGTGAAATAAGGAAAAGATACATACCCTTGGCTGAAGCACCAGACACTTCCTCATTGGGTCTTTGCCCGGTCACGTGCCTCTTCAAGCTGATTTGGCCACTGGCAAGCCGTGGCGGGGTGTCCTGTCCCACCCCAGCAGAGTGCACGTGCATGCGCTGGTGCCTCTTGAGGTTGCCATGGGAACTGCAGGCAAAAGTGCAGCTGTCACATTTGTAAGGTTTTTCCCCAGTGTGAATGCGCAGGTGTCTCTGCAGATTCACCAGCTGGGCTGAGGCGTAAGTGCACAAGGGGCAGTTAAAGGGCTTCTCCCCGTTGTGCGTCTTCATGTGACGCTTCACGTGGTTGGCGTAACGCGAGGAGAAGCCACAGAGGTGACATGAGTGCAGTTTGGGCAGTTTGTCCTCAGCTGTCAGTGCTTTGTCACCCATTCCGTTTCCCAACCCTTCACCATCAAGCTGCAAATGGGAACCTGAGCGAATCCCGCTCATGCTTCCAAAAGGTGAGCAGAAGTCTGTACTTTTGGCTTCCCTGGAGGCTTTGCAGCACCTAAGGCAGTATGGACCAACCAGGTCTATGCCAGGTCCCAGAGGTTCATCACGGAGCTGTCCACAGCCCCTGCAGGACAGGTAGGGAGGAAAACTGGGCTCGGACTGGGCTGCTCTGCCCTCGTCTTCCCTACCGTTGTCAGTTGTGCCGTGCGAGTTGTCTGTTTCACTTTCCATGCTGAGCTGGCTGTAGACAGGGCTCTCCTCATCACCCAGAGGATACACAGAGAAACCGATCTCAGCAGCTACTTCTGAACAGGGAAGACAAACAGAAAGAAGTTTTCTAAACACTGCAAATGTTTTCAGCGCAAAGACTTTCACAATCCACTCCAAATGCCATTACGGACCTCGAAAAACTCAAGAGCACATTTCCGTACTGCTATTTATTAAATCTACAACATTTCAAACCCAGGTTTATATTTGCAACTGTCCTTTCACTGTCTCTCTATCTGGACTGGCTTAGTCTGTATTATACATTATAAAGGCTTTATTTAATCAGGTAATGTTGAGATCAAGATTTCTTTTGCTAGACAGACCTGAATAAAGCAGGATAAATAAAACAGAGAGAAAATAAATCTAGCCACTCACACAAAAGGATATACACAAACAGCATCACAGACAATCACAGACATCTCTATTGATATACTGTATTACTGTTTGCATTATTCAAACTGGACACAAATACCGCAACTATAACAGATGTTGAGTGCAAATGGATTTTGAGTGAGTAAATCAGACATCTTGAACAAACAATAAATACAGTAAAATATATATCTGAACCAATAAATTGTGAAATAATTCAATACTAAACTCACTACAATGAAACTCAATTGCATCACTCTTATTTTCATAGTACACAGGCTGGAGACGTGACTGGCTGAGGAGCAGGTGGGTGAGGATTGGTG